ATCCTGCTTGTCTCGTCAGTCGTTTCTTTATGGTCTATTCATGCTTATCTTAAAGAAATATTTTTTAATCACAAATGCTATACAGAAAAATATATATCATTATACCCAGATCTTTTGCCCATTTAAAAGAGCGAGCTACCAAAAAAGATTTCTGGTATGCTACAGGACAATTTGACTCATTTATTTACTTACCTTGACGCTTGGGCTGTAGTAGTGATTAGGTGGAACTTGTGTCATTTACAGAAGCTTATGTCTTTGATTAAAAAATTCCATTGTCTTTGACAAATGTCAACACATAAAGTGGAAGATATGTCATAAATCACATAATTCCTTTTTTTTTCTTTTCATCAGCTGAGCTCCCGCGTTTTACCTCAACGTGCATGTTTCCCTTTTCAATGCACTTGAGAGAACAACCGTATTTTTAATTCTTCAGGTAAGCAAATCTCAGCTATCAATAACCAAATGCTCTTCGTGCAAGCTGATGTCATTAATGTCGAAATGGTCTACGTGCAGAATGGCACTGTGACATTTCCAAAATTAAATCATAAAATAAGATAAGAGTGTCCTAGCTGTTACCTTGTGACTAGGTTTTCAAACCCAGAATGCCATAAAGAATCCTTGAAGAATCACAACTGCTACTGTCGTATATATGGGGAAAACAAACTGTGTCCTTTCATTTGATTTGGTGACAATGTGGATGGAATTGTAAATGAAATCAAAACTCAAGTAGTGCAATATTTGAGTCGAACAGAATGTACGAAGGAGGGAAGTCGGTTAATTCTATTAAGAGCCAATAAGGTTAAGGCCACATTTCTAACATCATCTTTATCAATCAAAAGTAAACAAATTCCAGCTCAGCTTAGGTCAAAATGCAGTATAAGCTGATAAGTGCTTCTGTATGGGGAGGAAATCAGGGCCAACATTTACGCTCACATTAATGTGTCGTAGCCCTCCGGGGAGGGAGGGGGGGGGGGGGGCAGGGGCGGATTGTAGAGAAATAGTTCTGCTTTTCTATATAATGTCTTTTCCTTATCTTACTCCATCAAACGTCATACTTTCCCTTAAGTCAACGACCCGATGAGAACCACATGCGGCATAGATTAACGGTGTGAATGGATAGGCCCTATTCTATGAATTTAATAACTGTTCCCAAAAACTTTCTCAGCCCACATTAACAGCATGAACAGGAATCCTGATTTAATGTATTAAAAATAGACTGTTGGCAAGGGCGGATTGAGGCTGTCTTCTGGGTCTTCTGGAAGACGGTCAGATTTTCAAGTTTACATTGACAGGTATCTAATTTTTTGCTGTCGGAAGACGGTCAAAAATGGAGGATGGATCAACAAAGATAATTTGGAAGACTGTCAGAAAATATCTCTGGATCCACCCCTGGTTGGATTGGAGAAACAGGATGTTTTTTAATTTGATCCTGTTAAATTTACAAAGGCTGGCTATTCTGTTGCTGATGACATTAATGCGCAAATGGTTTACGTGCAGATGGGCTGTATTAAATCAAAATAAGATAAGATAAGAGTGTCCTAGCTGTTACTTTGGGACTGGATTTTCCAACCCGGAATGCAACAAAGTTCCTTATAGAATTACATTTATTACTGCCACTGATGTAGGGAAAACAACAACTTTCTGCTCTCTTTTATTCGTTTAAAGTGTTGGTGAAAGGATGTATAAAATAAAAACCCATTCTGTAGTACACTTTGAGTTGAACAGATTGTAGAAAGGAGGGATGTTAGTTAATTCTACATGTATAAAGAGCCAGTAAGGTTAAGGACACATTTCTATCGTCATCTTTATCAATCAAAAGTAAGCATGCCGTGTGAACGGAATGGTAGTCCTAGTAACGCAAGTCCGACCGGACACTAAGTCTTGGGAACGTAAGTCCTAGGTCTAGCGTTGCTCGGAGTGGAGGTCCTATACCCCTGTCGCTTTCTTGGAGGGCAAGGCACGTGCATGGGCCATCTTGGTGTAGTAGCACACAACAGTACATACGTACTGATTGCCCCTTTCTGTTTGTTGCATTGGCCCAATTAGATCGGTCTCAATCTACCAAAAATTAATAAAAATACGTTATTTCTGATTTTACATTAAATTCGTAGATGTTTAACTACATAAATAACTGAAAAATAAAGAAATTTCCGCAAGTCTTAATGTTTTCTGTTAAAACAATATGACGACAACAAAGAAAAACGATTTTCAATATCTATTTTTCCAATTGAACACCACGATTAAGAGAAAAATTGTCTTGATTACCATCCTCCACGCCTCAGGCTTGTTCACGGGAATAGGGTTAAGCGGTGGAGAGTCGTTGTTGCTGTTTTTGTTGTCACGCTGACATTTGTCACATTTTAAAATGAATTTTCTGATGTCGTCTACCATGTTTGGCCAATAATATCTCTGTTCAACCTTGGCCAGTGTCTTATCTCGTCCTAGGTGACCACCTTAAATTTAAAAACAAGGAAATTAATACATGGCATTTTATAGACACTTTACGTTTTTCAATGTCTGGAATTACGTCACACAATTAAATAAAGCAACGTATACGCGATATTGTGAATACGGAATTCTTTTAATACATACTTATCAAGCGGTTATGTATGCAGTGTATCCAATTATTTTTCACTTCTTCCCTGTTTCTTACAACTTTTCGCCATACTCCACCAACATCATTATCATCATTATCATTCTGCCCTTCATCTGCTACGTCCCTCACTTTCCTCTTGCTAACTCTGTAATAGAGCTTGCCTTGTTCAATCTGAAATAAGCATTACAATATGCATATACATGTATGTGTACTCATGATGTTAAAAGATAAAATTGACATATACTACTGTTATTTTGTTCGAGTTTAAAACTGAGAAAAGGAATCGTAAGCAGCTGTCCCCGGACCTAAAATCCCAGATATGGTAGTCCCCGGACCTAAAATCCTAGAAATGGTAGTCCCTGGACCTAAAATCCTAGAAATTGTAGTCCCCCGGACCTAAAATCCCAGAAATGGTAGTCCCCCGGGCATAAATACCCATGAAATAGTAATCCCCTGCAGTACATTTATTCAAGGTACATAGGTCCATTGGACACACATCCCTGGAATTGTATATCTGCGTATTACGTAGTGTGACCTCTAATAATATTGCATATTTAACATCATGAAAATTGAAAGTTTACTTTATAATTAGACTTGCTTGTTCTCCGAATAACTCTTTTCTGTGTTGGTGTTGTCTCGATAGGATACGTGCCCTCCTGAAGATATTGAAAAATAACTTCAACTTCGGGCCTGGTCCGGGTGCTGCTTGTCCCTTCCATATCAAACGTCTGGTGAGGGTGTGGTATTCATATATGTGCGGTATTTATAGTAGAACAAGGTCGCGTGTGACATCTGGTTATGTCTGTAACCAATCAATAAATTTGCTACGTCGCAAAAATGACGACCAGAATAAAACTAAAGAAAAAAATTCACACGAAAGGTAAACATACTTTTATTTCTGTAAACGAAATTCGAACCTCCATGCACTTACACAATTACTCTGTAGAGCATCCTTTATACTGAGCCTTACCACTATACCAGGGAGACAAACTGCCAAACCGTCGATTTTACGGAGTACTTATATATGCTCACTAAAGCATAATATTACTGCCAATAGTTATTATCCACTAGTTGCTATTTTACATGGTCGGACATAGTTATAGGGCGGACCTCCATTCCGTTGACTAATGTAAACGTAATGCAGGTCCGCTAGGAATAGAAGTCCTACCCTTTATTATATCAGGAATGCAGGTCCCATTAGGACTACTGTTCCTCAGGTCCGTAGGACCACCGTTCCTAGGAACCAAGGTCCGTAGGACCACCGTTCCTAGGAACCAAGGTCCGTAGGACCTCGGTTCCGGGCGGACCTGCATTCCGTTCACAGCGGTAATTGGTGGATAGTTTACAGTATATTGACCATTGTGTTCGCTGCGCATTTCAGTAACATAAGGATTGCGATAGCGGTGCCAAGTACTGCTGATGCAATTGAAATCAGAAGACGGTCTTTATCATCTCATGCTGCCTCCGTGGCATTTGTCGGGAATCTCAGGACAGTGGCGGATTTAGATTTCTGGTCCCCTCATGAAAAATTTTTTTTTCGATTTCTGGTCCCCTCTTGTAATTAGAATCTTGACTAGCTGAATCATAGTTTTAAACCATACCAAATGGCACCGTTCGCCTCCTTAAATAACAAACATTTTCGGGGTCCAGCACATGCAGCAGGCCCCGAACACCACGTCAATTTTGAGGGGGTGGGGGGAAGCGGATCGCTTTTGAAAGTCAGCTTGGTAGGTGGACTTCTTAAGTGTTTCTAATGTTATCTTTAATAAAATGTTTGTAAATACAGTCATCGTTTAAACACCTTTTATTCAAAACTATACATGTAAGTTTTTTGCTGATGTTGAAACAAAAGATACCTGTTCATTTAATATTCATTTTATATTATTTAAAAAATGTGTGAATGCATTGAATGAAAAAGTATATAAAGTCGACACCCAATGACCTAGCTATATACATCCAAATGTAGGATTAAGATACCCTGAGTGTCAGGGCAACGTAAAAATTAGCTTGTAAATATTTTTAAAATATATACCTTGGAGTCATTTTTACTAGGTATTGCTGATATGGGTTATATATGAAATCAAGATCGAGCTGGAAATACCGGAATCTAGAACCTAGGGTAGATTATGACTGCTCCTGGCTAGAAGTGAGACAAGAACCAAGGCCTATGCATCGCTTATGCTAATATACACGGACTTTGATTCTTTTTCAATCCTTGCAAGGGTTACACACGGCATGGTGGACACATTTCTTATAATTGAAGATTTTGCTTTTCGTTGTATTTATTTTTGAGACACAACGTCTATGGAACTTTGAAAAAAAAGTTGGATTTGTGAATGTTTCTTAAAATTTAAAATAAATGTAAACTTTATCCTTTTCTAAATGACTAACAAAAAACATTACCTTTGCTTATAAAATTTATTCCAAAATAGATCTGCATTTCTACTACACAGAGGGATAGAATAAAGGTTATTAAGATGAACAGGTCAAGTGAAGTCTTTCAAAGAATAAATGGTTTAACATCTTAATCTTAGCATATTTGACACAAAATTTTACCCTTACGTCTTTAAAATGGTAAAAACTCAAATTGTCTGACTTGTTTACTTACAAAGTAATACACTTTTAAGTTTTGGTTATAATAAAACATCCACAACTGTGATGACATATTTGCACAATTGGATAATAAAACCTTAGTCATTAACTCTGACACTGACTTTTAATTCAATTTGCCAACCCCTCCATCAGTAATAAGGAATTATTCGGAGGGGGGGGGGGGGGAGAGATGGGGCAAAGATAATGGCATCTACAATAACAGCAGAAAGCCTATGTACATGTCAAAAATTTACAGTGTTTGGAACACTATTAATTTAATGCTATTAAATTAACTTACCACCTAAATTTGGTCTCTGGAAAGAACATCTGAGCATCTTATAGATTTAATTTAATTCAGTAATAATAATAATAATAATAAAAGGTGCAATACAAAGACAGTTTACAACATGGCAACAAAAAGCACCATATTTTGGGATTATTTTTGCAGACATATGTTTACAAACAGATTAATATCAACACATTAAATTACTGACAGAGACTTATGTGAACCCAGGCTGCTTTTTTGAACTGTCATAAGTTTTAGGGGTTAGCAACCCATTTCTGGGTGGGTATGCTGGTTTGGGAGGTTAATTTCCAGAAACTCAAAGAGTCTGTCTGCTGTATAAGTCTGATTGAAATTATGTCGTAAATGTGTGCCAACGCTGGGCTGAAGACTTCGTTTATGTATATGGAGGACTTCCTATGATATCTCTGCATATATTTCACCTTAGGTTTTTGGTTCACATTCACTGTGTAAGTCAATAACTTGTCCAGTACACTGAGAAAGTTGTGGCAAAATGGTCGCATATACATTGATCATTTATGTTTATACATCCTTAAATCTTTGCCAGCCACAAGCAATTAAACTTAAATCTTGGCTAAATTGGCAATACAACAGAGGCAAAAAGTCTGTAAACATCTCAAAGCCTGTACAGTTGTTTTGATGTTATAATGTAAATATCTTGTTGAATTCACTAGTAAAATCTGGGATGGATGGGTGATATGACTTATCTTATATACACAATATACTGATGATGCAAGATTAATGAATTACTAATATATGAACCAAGAGATGAATATACAATATCAAAACATGTACACTATGTTACAATAGAGGTACTGACAGGCTATACACAAACATAATATAATGATGGGGTAATATACAGAGAAACTGCTCGCCAATGTCACTTCTTCAATCTGTGATCTTGTTGACCAGTCTAAATAAAGGAACTTAGCACTCCTGTAAATAAATTTACAAGAGAAAAAAATAAATAAAATAAGGTCAATATTTCCTCAAATGTGACAATACTTTGATAATGTGTTTAATAAAGTGGATGAACTACCATCCTTTACAATATAATCAATTTTGGTGGTGTTCAAATGGTAGACATACAGCAGGAGCAAAAAATGAAGTGTCTCTATTGGCTAAAAGACTGCAGGGGCAGAGACTGTCTCTCTCCTTGTATTGCTGTAGTAATACAATACATGTATATCCCAATGTTTACATCTAGGACAGGACATCAGTTCTAGCAGCCGAGTGTCTCTGCCTCCAGAACTGGGAGTTGTCCAGAGTATGATTTATCTTCTTGCCATTGGAAACTTGCCTTCCAGCACAAACTGAACTGTCTCAAGCATCCTTTTGACAATAAAGTTCTTTTAAAGATTTCAATTCCTCCATGAGAGTCTTATTCTGATTTTCAAGCACCGCAACACGATTTTCTAAACACTTGATGTACTCTTTCTTCTTCCGCCGACACTCACGAGCAGCTTCTCTGAAGAACCAAAATAGATAACAATTAGCATCTATTAGATGATGGTTTGCTGGAATTTCATTCATTCATGCATCTTTCTGGCAGTAGAGTTCTTTCAAAGATTTCAACTCCTCCATAAGCGTTTTATTCTGATTTTCGAGCACTGCCACACGGTTCTCTAAACACTTGATGTATTCTTTCTTCTTCCGACGACATTCAGAGGCTGCCTCTCTGAAGAAATCAAAGTTAAGACGAGATTTATTCATTTTGAATTGACCATGACATCTTTACACAACCATAACTTTCCCAAATCAAATAACTAATCATTTAACAACCTCTGGGTTTCGTCGCAAGAAAAAATACAGGCATATTTCACATCTTTTTTGTGTGATCAAGCTTATCTACAGCACTACTCTAGAAGCAACTAATCAACAACAAGCAGCAAGGCTACAGCTGGTCATGAAGTGCAGACAAATCTAAATCAACATTATCTACATTAAAAGGGTAAGATTTACACCTACACATTTTTTTTTTTTTGGAAAATCAAAATTAAAAGAATAATTTGAGATTCTTTTTTTTTTTTTTTTTTGCCAAAGGAAATCATTCATGCCTTATGATCAAAAAATTCAATGCGCTATCTTGACCCAAGCCTGCCTTGTCAGACTACAAATATGCACAAGCACACACTAATAAAACACATACCTGTTTTTCAGTAACCTCAGTTCCCTCTTCCTGGAGGCCTCCTCTCCCACCCCCTGGGGACTCCCCATGGCTGTTGTCATGACGACACCCTGGGGGAGCGAGGTGGGCGTGGCTATCTGATAGGCCTGGACATTGGTGGCTGAAATCAAAGCAGTGGGATCAGCATCAGGAGGTTATTGGATGCATGGAGAATATCATATTTTCTTTGAACTGGTATTAGTTCTTTGCCCAACAATGTCACTGGCATTGGATTTTTTTATCCAGTAAATCATGATGTTAGTATTTTTATCAATTTTTAATGAAGTATCAAAACTCTTTAATACAAATCTCAACAACCAACTTTAGTTCTGCTCAGATATAGAAAAAAAAAAAACAATAAAATCTTGGAGAAAACAGTAACAGGAAATTTGGATGACAGTCTTTACCTGGTATAAAGAACTGTCCATCTGGCCCCTGTGCATACTGGACAATAGTGGCTCCCCCTGGCGAGGTGACCAGTCCAGTGTTGGACATGGTCAGTGTCTGGACACCTGTGTGTGGTATCCCGTCACCATGGGAGGCTATTTGGATAGTATGGGTGGGAACTACTGGAACACAACGGGACAAATACAAGTACTTCACTTCACTCACAACCAAAACATTAAAATATACACTGTGCTTTGGATGTGCAAAGATGTATTTCACTTTGTTTTTTTTTTTTTCTTTTTTTCTCTCTCTTTTTTCTCTCAACTGACCAATTTTGGCAAAAAAATATGGAGTTTTCCATTAATTTGCTTTAAAATGCCTGTTGTTGTTAACCCAGCACTGTTGTCCCTTAAATTTGGTAATTAATCCAATGGATTTCAAAGGTTCTGTACCAACTCTAGAGTTCCTTTTTAACAAACAAAATTGAATACAACTTGCACTACACTTAGTAACCTACTCATCATAAGTTATTTATCACGTAGGTTAAAAGAACTTTTAAAATTTTTGTTTAATACTAGTAATAGACATTAATGTTACTCTGCTTACTCAAGAAAGCTCGTTTTTAACATGTCAAGAGCTTTCATCGTTATTTATCAAGTTTACTTTAAGTGTGGGGACAGCTAAGCATGCAACCTCAGTATTGTACCTTTGTATTTCTACACATATCTACAGGACTGGGGGAGAAATAAATGAGCAAAAAAAAAAAAGCCACTTTTGCTTTGTGACCACACTACACCAGGCAGACATAACATGGCTAGACAACTGCACAAAACTGTGGCTGTGTTACCATGGAGATATAGCAGTTTTTAGCCAGCTGAATTAATGCCACAGCAATGAGGAAGCTATATCAACACAGCAGCCAGTCCTCTGTGGCTGTAGCACAGGATAACAAACAGTCCTCTGCCACAGATTATACAGTGTTCTATCAGACAGTACAAAGCTGTGCTAACTTCTTCCTCATTGGCATGACTATAGAACTTGGTGTGAATCGGACTTTCCACTGTTCAGCTACCACAAACAGAAAATCGGGCTGATAGTGCTTTCAACAGAGCTAGGTAAGTATGACTATGTTCATATCAAGCCGAATCAAAACCTTGAGCTTAAAATAAGGCAGTCACCAAACAAAACCATTAACAATTGCTTTCCACTGACTAAGGTGGCCCTCTGAACAGTTTCCAACCCCAAAGAATCATCTTCATTAGTGACTTAATTTTACAACTGATTAAGTGGTTTGTCCATTTCTAAAGCTGAGCTGTTTTCAGTTGAAACTGATGTGAAGTCGGCCTCAGTCAATATCCCAGAATGCCACCAGACAAAAGTTGCACACATCAACTTAATTAAAAACAAATAACGGCAAAATAAAAATTTGAATTAAAACAATATACAGAATACAACAGAACAAAATCTCCCTCCAAAAAACTTGACTGTTTCTACTAAGAAGGCAAATTGTTTGCAGTGGGCAGGCACACATACATGCATACTAAACAGAAGAAATGACTCTGAGAAACAAACATCTTCTACCCTGATGATAATCATTACAGTAACAATGATGACAACATCAACAACAGTCAGTGCTAGACACAGCAGTATCATCAACTATATGTGTGCAGAGCCAGCAATAACTGAAGACATCTTCTATATATACAGGAAAGCTGGACAGCATTCATAATGACAATATACATAAGAGAAGTCTTGCCTAACATTTCCACTTCTACTAGATAGTAGCTTGTTTAAAAATGTTCATAGTCCCCAAAATAAAGACCTGATCAAACTACCATCTACAAACACAGCTTCCAGACAAGAGCACTATGGAGGACAGACATGATCAGATCTATGTAGTCTATAGAGCACCTAGAGATAAGAGCCCCACCCCCCTAGGGAGGGACAGACGGGTGACTACCTGTGACAGTGCCGCCTGCCTGCTGGTACTGAACAGTACTACCAGCCGCTGCGACAGATGTCGCCGACACAACCACATTCTGTTGTTGTGACGTACTGAGATTGCTAGCCCCGTCCGCGGCTTCCATACCCTCCTGACTGCTGTTGGAGTCCTCCTCCGTGATCTTCGTCATCCCGCTGATGCCGCCCGTGTCTGATGACAGCTCGTTCAGGATTTTTCTGAATGGAAAAAAGGATGTCATGTTTAAACAACCTCTCAACCAGATTGGTCATAATGCAAGTAGAAACATAAGATCTTTCATAAATCATAATCTGGCAAATTTTAGAAATAACTTTAGGGTAAAAGGAACTTTTGATGAGATTCCAGCACTTTTATTTTTACTTTTTGTTAACAATACAAAAACTCATAAGCCAACAAGACTTTCCAGAAAGAGTAGTCTAGCCCTTAGCCTCAAAAGATCGCCAAAATTTCCAACTACAAATTTTTTTGGTTGTGTTGGACTTTCTATATATGGATGGCCCAAATAACAGATTCACATTTTGGACCTGTCAAATCAGGTCTATGTAATGTGTGGAGCACCTAGAGATAAGAGCCCCACCCCCTAGGGAGGACAGACGGTGACCACCTGTGACAGTGCAGTACAAACTAAAATAGATGATTAAGGACACTTCTTCTTAACTTAAAGCTCCAGCTGAATAAGCTGATATAGGAATTTCTTCTATTTTCACTTCCATTGACAGGTGAAAAATGCAGTTTTGCTCTTTGTTTATATTTATATTTATTTATATTGTTTATATTATTAATGCCTTTTTAATATAAATGACACTTATTACGACAAAGTTGAACAGCTAGTGCATCAACATTTCCATACACCATACCTGTATGATGGACGCCTGTTTAATATTTCTCTTCTCTTCTTTCCCTCGGCCTCTTCAAACTCGTCTTCCGTTACCACGTGGATTGTGTTACCTTGATGTGTCGTGTGAATCACAGAAGGTTGACTGGTGGGCTGTATGACTGACTGCACCTAAGACGGAAAATACACTGACAGTTTATATCAGGGTGGTGACCATCATATCAGGGCTTAACACTAACTTTTTTCGATAAATATTGCAAGGATGATTTGACACATGACATTTTACTTGCTCTTTGGGCCAGTGACCCCATCAATTCAATGGTCCTAGGTTGGTTTTCAGTGGCCCAGGGCCAGTGGGCCACCCTTAATGTCAAACCCTGCTTATGTCACTTATTTCATTGTCCATAAGTGTAGTATTAGACATAGCAACCATTTGCAGACTTACTTGACTTTGTAAAGCTTGAATTATGCTTTTAAACATTTCTCTTGGATGACTGCAGAATTTTAATTCCGACTTTCAGTACATCCAAACATGGTTGGGGATAGCTACGTGTTACCTACCTGTTACCTACCTGTACAGCCTGGTTAGGGATAGCTACATGAACTACAGAGATATTTTGTCCTGTGTTACCTACCTGTACAGCCTGGTTGGGGATAGCTACGTGAACTACTGAGATATTTTGTCCTGTGTTACCTACCTGTACAGCCTGGTTAGGGATAGCTACGTGAACTACTGAGATATTTTGTCCTGTGTTACCTACCTGTACAGCCTGGTTAGGGATAGCTACATGAACTACAGAGATATTTTGTCCTGTGTTACCTACCTGTACAGCCTGGTTGGGGATAGCTACGTGAACTACTGAGATATTTTGTCCTGTGTTACCTACCTGTACAGCCTGGTTAGGGATAGCTACGTGAACTACTGAGATATTTTGTCCTGTGTTACCTACCTGTACAGCCTGGTTAGGGATAGCTACATGAACTACAGAGATATTTTGTCCTGTGTTACCTACCTGTACAGCCTGGTTGGGGATAGCTACGTGAACTACTGAGATATTTTGTCCTGTGTTACCTACCTGTACAGCCTGGTTAGGGATAGCTACGTGAACTACTGAGATATTTTGTCCTGTGTTACCTACCTGTACAGCCTGGTTAGGGATAGCTACATGAACTACAGAGATATTTTGTCATGTGTTACCTACCTGTACAGCCTGGTTGGGGATAGCTACGTGAACTACTGAGATATTTTGTCCTGTGTTACCTACCTGTACAGCCTGGTTAGGGATAGCTACGTGAACTACCGAGATATTTTGTCCTGTTTTACCTACCTGTACAGCCTGGTTAGGGATAGCTACGTGAACTACTGAGATATTTTGTCCTGTGTCTCCAAGGTCAGTCTGTTGGCCTTGGGTCACTTCACTGTCGTTGACCATGTCCATAGCTCTGCAACAGAACAGCCGCCAGGTAAGACAACATATCTCTAAACTCATATGATATTAATTAAGAAATTTCTCCAAGGGCCCTAAACTCATAAATTTTGAGAAGTTTAAACATCATGTTACTTTCTTCATGCCTGAGAACATTGTGAGCAACTAAAAATGAAAAAAAAAATTAAATATGATTATTGTATTTAAATTCGAAACAATTGTACAGGTAGTAATGCTTGAAATGGCAGGGCTGACCTTGATCATATGAAGTATTTGTATTTTAGAGAAAGAAGGGGAGATCATTTTATCATCCACAGTGCCAACTTCTGTGGAACCGAAACGTTTTGCCAGTCTTTTTTTAAACACGTTGTTCCCATCTGGAATGCCCTTCCCATTTGCACACGTTCAGGGGTTGGCAGATCAATGTTTAGACGATCTGTCAGAGAGCACTATGGTGCTCTTCTGGTAGAGCGCTTTGACCCCGAGAACGTTTGCACTTGGGTGGGTCATTGCAGATGTACACATTGTCGTTTTTAGATTACACATTGTCATTTTTAGTACTAAAGTAGAGTTTTTATTTATTTATTTTTTTTTATTATTTGTATATCATTGGGGGGTGTCCATTCATGGGTCATTGACCCTTTAGGCAAACCCTTTTGGGTACAATCTTATTTTTGCATTATTTGAAAAATAGCTGTCATATCTGCCCATTAAAATGAACAAGACATGTTTTGTAAAATATATTATGAATTAATAATTTTTAATTATTAATATATTATGGCGTTTTCCTCACAATTAGAGGTACACAAAGGAGGATTTTGGTCCCATTTATATCTAACAAATTATCCTGGGGTAAATGGTACTTAATTTCTCCTGATTTTCAAACCTGTAATCTGCCTTTCCTGACACTTGCCATAACTCTGTAATAATTCTGGAATAAAGCCAAAGATTTAAACTTGCACATTAGAGGTTTTTCAAAAAGCCATTCATTTCCAATGACTCGTCTACAAGGTATTGTGATTATTATTATTATTTGTTTATTTATTTATTTATTTATTTATTTTTTGCAATTATCGGATATCGATTAAGGCCATTTATCTGTCATTTAATGTTTTAAAAGTTATAACTGTCCTGAGATTAGTTCAATAGAAGAGATCCATGCACTTAGAATGGGTTTTAAATACAACTTTATATGGCTTTACTTGCATGGGCATTCTATTAATACTACTTTAATTATGTGTCATAATCAACAGTCAGACATAAGGGTCTTACTGGAATAAACAGAATCAAAACAACACTTACCACTACCTACACAATTACGCAACCTACAGAAATCAATACCTAATTTTAAGCCGATTTCTTTGTTCGCCATTTATTTTCTCTCTAGCTTGTCCTTGTTACTGCCACTTTTGGTTAATAATGCACAAACTATATAATATAAGAGGTTCTGACGTAAATCACATTCAAAGATATTTTTTTCTCATTTAGCAAAATCTAATTCTATAAAATCAATGTCAAATGATTCATTGCTTGTTTTATAAATCAACAAGAAAATAACAGGGACCACAACATAGGCTTACATTGTAATTTACTCAAAATGTTTTTGCACACTTCCATCCTACAACTATCAACTTAAATAAGATCTTTTTTCAGTGGAATGTAAGTATTTTTTCATATTACAGACAATTTTGGTGAATTTTTTTCTTTTGTCTAAATTTATGTCAACTTCAACCGAAAAAAGGTCATCCACATTACAGATAAAACTGCAGTTTAACACAATGTAAATGATGAAAAAATGGCTACAGAACAAATACATCTGGCTTCCTTTAAGTAATTAATTTTAAAAATCACTTGTGCAAATATCGATGCAGTGAAAAGTGTTTTGTATCACAGACAAATATGTCATAAGCTTACTAGTAGTTCAGTGTCAAACATTATACAACAACATTGGTAGTGGGGGAGGGGGGTCTGTCCGTTGTTACAGCTGATCAGTTAACATAATAAGTTATGATGTGACAAATTAATTTTTTAAAACTTTAATACGATCCTTTTCTGTTTTATTTTATTTTGTTATTTTTTTCTTCTCATTCAACAAATAGAAAAAAATCTCTTGATTTAATTTTTTTACGGCAATGTCTCGTTTCTGTCAAGTTTAATCTAATTTAAATTTACCGGGACGCACTGAAGGTACAAACATATACAAAGTTAGCACAATCATGCAGGCAAAGCAGGTTAACACTGAATTTATTTTTCTTAGGAAATGTCCCAAATGCACTCCCTCAAAATGCTCTGTTCAGGAGCCATGATAAGATTTTTTCTCATTTCTGTGAACGAAAATCAGCACAAAATACCCGAAAAGTACTCACCGTGCCGAACTTCATGTTGTTCTGTTGATATTACTCAATGGAGTACTTACCAGTTACGCACTTTTCGTCACCAAACTTGCCGCAATCGGACTGGATAATTCTGTGGAATACGTAGTGGCCACGTCAAAGGTACACGAAAAGCGTCACAGCTACAAACAACAGCGGCGCACCACTGATTTCACTCGCAATATCATTGCGTTTTGACCCAGTTTCTTACGCCGTGATTGGTCAGAAATAGCATTGGCGTCATTTGTGTCCCAAATAACTGAACTACTTGATGCCTGGTTTTACAACCTTATCAGGACATATTATATCAGCCATAAGACCACTCAAAATATCGCTCTTTATCCAAAATTAGCAGGCATAAAGTATTATATCAATTTTGATTTATCTAAGTGTGGCAAATGTAATGCGTAGTTCTCGGATTACTTTTTCCTGCGTGCTTACACTACATGAACACAGGATGTTCATTTCTCAAGGGAGTGGGTCGATTAATGAGTCATTGCCTTTGATCGCTCCTGCAGAGATATTCTTGGAACTGAGAAAAAAAAGAGAGCGACGGATTGTGCAAAGTTTGATCGAGTATGGTCTGTTTTCCATGGCTGTTTTCCATGGCTTCCAAATATTTTTTCTCTCTTCATATTATTTAACACGTGAATTTTGACATAAATGAAGGCATCAGAATTAATTAAGTGCCCATGCATGCTGGACCCTGCACCCCTCCCCCCCCCCCCCCCCCCCACACACACACACACACACAGAAACACCAACTGATAGCAACAGTCCAATCTTGACTGCTAGCTAACTGAGTTCTAGAGACACTACCTCTTTATAATTATTGCTACTGGAAGTCAGATTTGTAGATGTTTAATTGTAAGTGATAGGCCTATATATGTAGCCTATGTAGGCCTACTGGACATATGCATATCCTCGCTTTGGTCACTTTCACTTTTCTAACCATAGAGCATATATAATACAATCGTCGGGTCTCAAAGAGTTTTAGCACGTAGCCTACAGATCTTCCGAGCTCAGTCCAATATAACATAATTTTACACTTGTTTTTTATCAAATTAAAGGTCACTCAGTATTCCGGTCCTTAATGAAATAAGGGGTCACTTTACCACCATCATATCCAGTTCAACTGGCTGAAAAAGCAACGTCAAAGACAATGAAATTCAAAAATAAAATCATACCTGTACTGTTACGTAAGTAGTCCCAAATAGTACATTACAAACGTTTTGGGGTCCCTGGCAGGCCCAAAAGGGAATTTCACAACCATGAAAAGTAGCGCAGGATATATATGTAAGCAAAGAGAATATATACAGTATATGTGACTTTGAGACGCCTCAAACGCGGAGAGAATGTCTCAAAGTAGACCCTAAGTGCTAAATAACCATTTAATATTTTTAAGTCAGGTAAATACTGGATCTATAAAATTTAAGTTAACCGTGCTGATACTTCACAGGCCCGTAGCCAGCAATTTCAAAAGGGGTTCGGGTTCTTTTTCTGAAAAAGTGGACCTTTTCCCATAAAAAACTTCATGTACCTAGATCAAATTTTACCCACAGTGGACCTTTTCCCAGCAAAAGGGGCGGTTCTTTCGAACGCCCCGTACCCCTTCTGGCTACGGGCCTGGTTCAGTATATAGAAAGTGTGCTCACGTAGGGCCTAAGTCATATGTAGATCTGTACGATGGCGTTGATAGCAGTTCGATGTGTGACAACTACGGGCGACGCCGTCGTAATACGTACGTCATGGCATGATGCAGGTAAGAAGTTAAAGCAATAATAACTCTTAATTTGAGATTCAAAATTCCGCAAGAAATACATTGTAAACAACGCATGGAAATATATTCTATTGCATTTTACCACAAAAAACCAAACGTTTAGGAAAAAACCCTGGATTAACTTTGAATGCAGGAATGGCGTCGCTGACCATTGATAAGTACGGGAAAATTGCCGTTTACTCCAGGAAAATCCAATTTTTGGCCAAAACGAAGAGTTATTATGACTTTAACACTTTTTTAGTGGGAACCTCAATTAAAGCAGGTGCGTATAAAGTGTTAATTATCCCCTTTCGACTCTTTCTTTCCATCAGAGGAATCTTCCCTTTCTTTCATTAAGCTTCTACATGTACAGGTAGATGATTACCGCATGCGCTTTGAATAACAAATATGCTTGCTATGGTTGCATATTAAGAATTAATAAAAGCTGGTGATGTCATTTCTTCTGTGACTTGGAAGGTGAATGCTCTGGCGTCGCAGTGAGAGGTTGTCGCCTGAGTACTGCACCATTAGCTGGGATAACATACAGAGGATGTATTTCAGCCGCGCAGATAATTATAAGGTAGAAGGCCATTAATGATTTCAGATTTTTTATGTGTTTGGGTGCGTATGGGTGTTCAACTATGTGAGTTTTAGAAAAGTCAACCCCAAGGTAAGTCACTGCACGAACGTGCTGTGAACTTTTCTCTCGTGTCAACCTGTAACGTTAACGTCGTGTGCTCATAAATGGCTGACGCGGTTGGAAAGCTAAGATCGTGTGAAGGGGGAGGGATCAATTTCTTTAAACAAGATGTATTCCTAAATTAACCTTGAAACAACTTTAAGTGCAAAATTCAGGGGCAGATCTAGAGACATTTTCAGACAGTCTTCTTTGTATTGTGCTTTATGTTCATAAATTTTGGAAAATGTAACATTAAACACATTCAAAGATTATCAGGAAACTGTACATTTAACTTCAAAGAGTTGGGAAAGCACGCTAATATACATATAATCGTATTTGTATAATATACATACTAGTATCATCGTATTTTGCTCCATATTCATAAAGTTTGGAAAATATAACAATGTACACATAAAAAGATTATCAGGGAAGAGTACAATTAACTTCACACAGTTGGGAAAGCTCGCTGCGATCCTGAATCGACGCGCGCGGTTAAACAGCGATGACATGAAGTCGGTTTTCATGAGTTACACGCCAAAAAGTAAGGGCCAGGTATAGCTAATTTAATTAGTCTTATTTAACATTCATTTGACCGGGTCATAATGTCATCAGTGAAAATATCCACTTTTTACGCCAAGGGCCGGATTTGAATGGGGAAACGAAACTGTGCGCCAGCTGTGGTTTCGTTTTCGTGCGAGTCTGGAGGACAAGACATAATAACATCTGTGATTACAAACTCAGATGACAGGATTTCCTTACACGCTGTTTAATGAAAAGCAAACTGTATTTCAGATATTTAAACCCTGAAATTGAACAATATGTATAGTTCACGTACACGTGTATGGGAGATAATACTTTGTACTGAAGTTGAAAACGGACAAGTTAGTAACGCACAACAACCCGTTTTCGTCACCCATCAAAATTTGAGACGAAGAGCTGCAGTTTTTGTTTTTATGTAGTGTGTGTGCCCTAGATGATCCCTGTGGCAAAATAAATAAATAAATAAATAAATAAATAAATAAATAAATAAATAAATAAATAACAATAATTTTCTTTTCCATAATATACAGCTGCAAAACGGGCTGGCATATGTCTATGTCCCACATAGCGCTGTTTTAGTGTTATTTTCGGCTAAGAATTAAAAAAGTTTAAAATACACAGCAATGTTTGGAAACATAAATTTGTCTGTTATAATAAGACAAATCCACCCCCTTTCACATGAATCCCCCCCCCCCCCCCCCATTGTAATCCAACGCATAGGAATATTTTGACAGACTTTCAAAGATTATCACCCCCTGCTGTTAGCCAGTAGCGTGGACGTGCAGATATATTTTATTGAAGAAAAACGAAGTATCCGAAAGAAAATCCGAATTGAACTTATGTGCATTTAATATTTGTCACATTGATTGTAAACGACATCGTATGATTCAGATGTAAAGTAAAGTCAACACGCCAATGAGATGACTTAAAAGTAAAATTGTTCTAACTTGCTAACGGTCGCGAACATCGCCTCCAACAAAGTATCTTAAAGTCATTACAGGTCACAGATTAAGTATTGAACAAGGCATCATCCCTTGGAGGACAGAGAATGCTTTAAAGTCATCACAGGTCACAGATTAAGGCTGCGTTCACATGGAAAATCTATTTTCTAAAAATCTATTTTCGGTATCTTGTGATCACGGTACCCTGGATACCCCGCGGTGTAATTACTGGCAGCGCCGAGTATTAATTACAGCTTTGGAAGCAACTGGCTGGCGCTGCCAGTAATTACGCCGTGGGGTATTCAGGGCACAGACCGTGATCACAATATACCGCAAATAGATTTTTAGATTTTTAGAAAAAAAGATTTTTCGTTTGAACGGTCCTAAAGTAAAGAACAAGGCGTCATCCCTTGGCGGACACAGATGGTACCTTGTATCCTAGGACTATTAAACTTGCCCATAAATGAAATAATTGTATTTAATATTCATAATTGATTTCTTTATGTACGCCCAAAACCTCGATTGAACGTCTTCTGTATAAGTACAGATTGTTATGTATTTTAGGTCAGAGGCCTGTTACTACAATGAATAAACTCATATCATATTGTATGCATCTCCAAAGTAATCTACCAAGGCGAGCTGTAGATATACATGGATTTGTATAACAGTGAAAATTGGATTTTCTGGGAATTTCAACACTTTCTGGGAATTACAACACAAGCATTTACGCAGTATGCACCTTGTTTTTATCTGAATTTAATGCAGTGGAGATTTTGATTTTAATCATTAAAATGTCTCTGCTATTCACACAATTAGTTTTGTAGTTCATATCCTTTAAAATCCTTCTGGCTTACTTAGATGGCACTGACTGAGTTAAGTTAAAGATTATTACTGAGGTTAAGTTTAAAATGAAATATATTGTAAATGAACTAAGATAAATTTACTTTTAAAGAGCATATATCCTGCATCAGTAAGTGGATACAAACAGAAAATGCTACAAATTGAGCAAGTTTATTACAGCAAACAAAACATGCATAACCGACCCCACAGACAGAATGTTTCAAAAAAGAAAAAATTCATTAAAAAAATTCTCCACAGTTTATTCAATGTGGAACTAAATCACAGATATGGACTGGACGGAATGGGATAAAATGTAGACTGCTTTCAAAGCCTACGTCACAATTAATGGCCATCTTTTACAAATATATAGTACTTTTTAACATCTAATTATCACTGTAAATGTTTCCCCTCTGCCATAGTTACTCTCGCTCATTAGTAATCAAGTCAGTTCTTCACGACATAATAGACTTAGACCAATTATCACACTAAGTGCTGGAGAAACTGAAATATGAACAAATCTTTTCTCTTTCAAGTCATGGACGGCATATTTATGGCTGTAGCTGCGAAGAGCTCACTTCCCTCCTGATGCTGCTCTTCCCTTGCTGGAACCTGTTGCGGTTTTCCGTACACCAGTCTGTAGCTTTGAGCTGCCGGGTGCTGCTATTGCACCCCGGGACTTCATGCGTTCTGCTTTTTGCTGTTATAAAAGAGAGAAACGAGTCAATGAAAAGTTTAAAGAATTGTAATCTTTTTATTATGAATTCACACTGCCCTCACATCTCTATGCCAGCTTTGAATATGAGCATACAGAGCAATTTTGAAAATCTTCAAGGCATGTCTGGATTATACAGATTATTAGGAGTATGTGTGATTACAGTGCTTGCTGTATGATTGAGTTAGTTGTGACACAGCTCACCAGGCAAATATTGTGTCAGTGTGTTAGGTGTGACACAGGTCACCAGGCAAATATTGTGTCAGTGTGTTAGTTGTGACACAGCTCACCAGGCAAATATTGTGTCAGTGTGTTAGGTGTGACAGAGCTCACCAGGCAAATATTGTGTTAGTTGTGACAGAGCTCACCAGGCAAATATTGTGACAGTGTGTTAGGTGTAGAGCAATGCCTGGAACAACCAAACACAAGTACTGGCAAAGTGTAAAGATATAACAAACTAAAGGATCTGCTGAAATCTAGAGATTACAGGCCAAAATATTTTTCAAAGGCATTATTCATTCATGGTGTCAGAGCCTTATATTCATGCATGCATTTTAACTCTTTTCTTTCAACAGAAATTCATTTGGACAACCACAGTATTAAATTTTATTTAAAAAAATGGAGATGGCTTATTGGCTGCTGCAATGTTATCGATGAAGGGGTGAATTTGAATAAATTGTTGGCCAATTTGGGCTGCATTAGTTCTGCCCATATTTCATTAAAATTGCCCCATTAACTTAATGCTTGGCATTAAAAAGTGGGGCAGGAGGTAATAGCATAGGCCTTACCCTCTCTTGATATCTCCTCTCAAAATAGTCCATATCCGACTCCCCAGGCCTGCGCATGGCAGACATCCTCTCAGCAAGGTCATGGTCAACTTCAGCACTGCCACCTGGTGGAGAGACAAATTTCAAGGTCAATAATGTTAAAATTCAAAGCAGAAAATCATTAGTGGTTAACTTGGAATAACATTTACACTAACATTTTAGACGTAGCTATAATTATATTATGTATTGTTCAGCTTTAAAAAAGGAAATCATCACACTCTACCAAAGCACTCTTAGGACAGAAATAAATAACTAATTAATAAGAAAAAAATGCCTTAACATCATGGTATTAACAGTTGTGGTTTCTGACCTTGTATCGCTTTCCTTACGGGTCCCCTGGCCAGCTGGTGCGCCTTGATGGACTGGACATTGGCCTTCAGGAACGGGTGGTCAGCTGATGTGATGGGCTGGTCCAAGAACTCAATGGGAGGGGCACCTGAAATGTAATAGAAAATATGATAGGTTGGATGAAGGTGGGAGGGGCAATTGTATATAAAGCAAAATCTGGTTGGTTAAAAAATGTTAATCTGAGGACATGAGTGCCTATCAAAAATACCACAAATAACTAAATTGGAATAAATAGATGGGAATTCTCTCTTATTACAAACAATTTTTCCTGGAATTTTAGTATTTTTCCCTTTATTACCCAAGTATAACATTTCCAAAACTGTAAAAAAAATGTACGATCTTTTCAGAGAGTTGGATTCTAAGTTTTCTCATTTTTAAGCAACTCCTGTAGTGATGAAATTAAGAGCTAAAAAACTCCATGCCTTGGTACACTTTCCAATCTCACCTGCCCCACTGGGGTCCAGCCTCATGTAGCCATCCATGAGAGAGGAGAACCCTGTGAGGCCCCCCATGGCCTGATAGGGTACATCCTCCCCCACGGGGTGACCCCTGGCCAGTCTCTCCTCCTTGGTCTCAGTGACCATATGGTGGACATACGTGGGCTCACCACAGCCACATGTAAAGGAGCTTTTAAATCCTGGACACTTACAGCCATCTTGAAATGTAATGGTGCAATAAATGAATTGAAATAAGAATAGTAAGAATGATAGCTTTCTTTGACAGAAGCCTTTAAATTATGGACAATTAATTCCGCCTTGAATTTCAGTAAAAAGTGCCTTTGATTAATATATTTCCATTAATTTCTCAAAATTTGAAGAAATAATATGATTAGTAATTTCTATTTGTACTACTTCAAAATAAACATTCAAATCCTCCAGAAAAATAAAACAGGCGCTATTGCATTTTTTACTAATTTATAAATTAGTAGCCTTTTTTCTATCTAAAGTTGACAGAAAAATAACAAACAAGCAAACACATTTTCAAATTTTAAACTCACAATCCACACTTTACCATTTTTGGCCACTTATAAAGTCATCAAAATTCCAAGAAAATTCACACACTTATCACCCCATATTGTGTGTAGTCCCAGCATTCAAAGACCAGTCCTCACCTTTTCTACACTTATATGCTCCCACTTCAGAGTGATCATCAGCGTAATGTTTACAGCTGCAGCGTATGGGCTGAGTGCCATTGAGAGGCACGTAGTGATATGACGAGCACTTGCAGCCCTTCACTTTACAGGGCAGGAGAATAGGACGCTCAGCAGGAATTGTCTGGAAATCTGTCTTGTGCTGCCTGTACCTGGTTTCAAAGAAAAGAAATGCCTTCTTATTTAGGTTTGTACTGTAAAGGTCATCTGTGCCTTCAATAGGAAATAATTAAGGGGGTCTATGATGGTCAGGGTAAGGGCCTCACCCGTATGCTGGGGATCTGGTATGTCTCCTCTCAACAAACTCACGACTTCGGTTATAATACAGGTTTATTTCTGTTAGCTTAAGTGTACATAGGAGCCTTAGCTTTACAATATAGACAACAACCTTCCTATAGGTCATCCATGTTGATCATCATTTTCACAAGTCTTCAAGTTGGGCGCTGGGGGAGAGTAAATGCTCTCTGAATGCTTTGCAAAATTAAATAACAACTTTTTACAGGCATGAGACCAGTCCTCACTGAAAAAGTAGCATTTACACGATTCATTGGATTTACACCATTCACCCAAATGACCCTGAAAAAGTCGGAATTCAGACAATAGTTGGGAAAGTCTCATCAATGTTTTTAGCTTTACATCCTCTACTCATTAAAAGGAGGGGAAGGTCTGGAAATTCTGCTCTTTGTTAAAATGATGATAAAAATGGAAACCCCAAAATAACAATCATTATAGATCATTGAATCATCTTGAGCCAGAGTAAATTCTACCTGTGTGTGCAGAAGCATGGTGTTTCTGGACCAATAAGCTTGCAGTCCATGCCACTTGGTGCTGTCCACGCTGTGTAGACTCTGTTCTCAAGACGCTGTTGAAAAAAAAAATGCCACGCCAAAAAATGTGTCAACAGGTAACTGATAAAAACATTTAGGATATACCTAGGCAAATAGGCACCCATCGATCTACCATCTATGAAACAAAATTTAGGGATATATTCCATAAGCACCTCACATTGGATTTTAAATGTACCTGTTTGTTATTAGCAATTGAAAGCAAGTACAAAGAAGGCTAATGAATGAATTTTTCATAAAGTTATGTGCACAAACAAATTAAATTAAACAATATTTTTTTAATGTTTTTCATATAATATGTTATAAAATACATTATTACCTGAGGCAGAACTCTCTTCTTGTATTCTTCATATTCTTCCGGTGAGAACAATTTGCCCCCATCATCATCCCCGACTATCCTGAAATGTCAAAGTTAAGTTGATATGTATAATAATAAAGAAATATCGCAGGTGTGTTGAAAACTGGTAAACGTGATTGTACACATTTACAATTTTATAAAAAATTACGGCCAAAATTTTTAATTTTAGTCCAAATCAGCTCTAATGCTTATTATTTTTAATTATCAAACACTATCTCCTTCTCTCTCACTCCCCTTCTCTCCATATATGTATATATATTTCATTTCAATTTTTTTTTATTTTCCTTTCTCGTGCTTCTTGCTTTATTCGATGCCTACCAGTAGAAATCGTACATGTACGATGGGCAGAATGTAAGAATTTAATTCAATTTTTAGATTCAAAGTTAACAGCAATTAAACTCCATCGTCCGTACCTCTTGTACTCCAAATAAGCGTCAACGGACGCTGCAGCGTTTCCGCCGAATTTAAGGTGATACTGTCTCTCTGCCATGTTTCTGCCAATATCTACCAGTAGTAGGGAATGTTTTTATTTTAAATGAGCTTCCTGGGAGATGAACAGCCTTGACCTTGATGAAACCAATCTTCAGACACAAAAGATCATAAATTTGTCAATCGTAATTCATAACCACATGATATTTAAATTCAAGTCTAGTTCTGTCATTTTCTTTCAAAGAATCTACATGTTTGTTCGGTAGGCTCTTTGTTCTTATCCATTTCCTTGTATAAAACATTTCCTATTTTTTTCATCATACGGGCACCTTGCTTCTTGACGTCACAGTTTCCAATAATAGATCGAGATTCGGAGCGACAGAACGTTTTACTACCGTAACAATACAGTGATTAATTCCCATTTGAAGAGCTAGAAGACACCAAAGACCGAAATGTCACTGTCGACAGTTATACAGATACTTTTAGTTTTCCTAGGAAACAACATTTTACAGGTATGCAGGGAGAGAAACGAGATATTTTATGTGTTTCGTTACAGTTCTGTCAAGATGACTGCACCAGTAAATGTTTTGAAAATCTTTTGTGTTTCATTTTCAAACCATGTATGCCAATGATATGTTGAATTGTCATGATGATTCTGTCAAGTCATTCTGATGTGATATGACACCAGGTAGTGCCTGTGCTCTAAATATTGATAACAAAGCACCAGCGGACTGTTGGTTGCGGGATAATGTGTGGTTACAACCAGGAAGTTTTTGTCGAGATTTCAGGTTCGAGGACAGCAGAAGTATCATAGTATGCGCTAAGTGAAACTTGAAAGTGTTAAATTGTACAAACTGAAGTACACTGTATAGCTAAAGGAGTGCTACTATTGTGATAAGGTATTGTGCATGTAGGACCTTCATGTACTCAGAAGTGCCCCCCCCCCCCCCTCTGCACATGCATCATGATTTCTACAGTTTCCCTCTAGTGTAACTTGATTGTGCAATAGAACAAAAGGAAAGTTGATGTTGAAATGTCTGCCACTTTCATTTCAAACCAGGATGTGACCTCAAGCACAGTCACAGGTAATACACTGTACACCTCTCACGTGATTCAGAAAAATAGAATCCCATAGGTGTACAGTGTATGCTTTACCTGCAAAAAAGAACTTTTTTTAGCATAAAATATGGCGAAAAAAGTATTTGTTCTCAGATTAGTTCAGCAAGAAATGCTTAATGTACATTTAAAAAGGAAACTGAGGGTGATTGGATTTTCCATTCAGGAGCAGGGTTTTTCCCTCTGTCACATCTTTGCATAGGCATTGGATAATGACTGTTTATATGACCCACAAATATTTCTAAGCTGTTAGTTCAGATGCACTCTCAGTCCATTATCAAAACAAAACACAACTTGTTTATAACTGTAAAACTGCATTAGTTTTATTACTAGTACTTTAAATTAAAGATCTGTAAAGATGAAGTTGATTTCAAGCATTCACAGAAGAGGTAAAGGGATGTATTAATAATCAAGCCAGACGTGCTGAAACTGTCAGTCCGATCGGTTATGATCGGGAAAATTTGTCTGGACTGGTAAAAAATTGGACTTGGTCGGTCCAAAGGACCGACAAGAGTTTTAAGAGCAGCAATTTTGAATTTACAGTCATCATTCGACATACTTAACTCATAAAATTATATAAAACTCAAAGTGTTTTTCCCTTCCATTTCAAACCTATCACATTCACAAACAAAGTAAGCTACTCTAATCATACCAGTAGTATCTGTCTCAAACGAATAGGGTGATTTTTGGTCCGACAAAAATCCATTCGGTCCAGCAAAATTTTCATTACTGTCGGTCCAAATGTCCGGCCATTCTGAAAAGTTTTCAGCATGTCTGTCAAGCTAATCAAATTGATAATTGTGCTCCTAAAGACTGAATCCTTCATCTTAGATTAAAGAGGTTGTAGAAGATTGATAATGTCAAACTCATGTCAATGCGTGAACTTAGATGACGGGTACGAGTTTGAAGATTGATATATATCCTTGATAATTGACAGTGATGTCAATGGACCTGCTCATGTGCACACAGAGAACAATGAAAAGGAAAAAGGGCTACCTTCTAATGTTAGTAGCTGGAGTAAAACATGCCATGCTAGTACTTATATCTCTGAATACAATCTAGAATGTAATAAGTGCAGTGCGATAAGACAACGTCCCTACTAGTAATAAAAAAAATAAGGAGAAAAAAAAAGAAATCTTTGATTTTTTATTTAAAAGAGATAGGGAGAGAGATGTGAGTACTAGTAGTTTTAGGTCTGTGGTCAAAACTGCAATTTCATTAATTTATACCTTGTGAGATCAGGAATAAGCATTTTTAAGGGTGTATTTACAGAGATTTAGATCGATCCAGGGATTTAGATTTAGATTGACCTAACTCCCTGGGGGTTCACGCTAAATTGCAGTCAGCCGAGCCCGAACCATAGTTAATTACTCCTGACAGCTTTTATAGGCGGGACAGACGCTTAAGCCGGCTAAGCCGGCAGTAATCAAGTGAGACTCCCCATAGGGATAGATCGTTCTAAAATCTATGGGAATGGGGTCTAAGCTTTGTACACTGATATATGTCATTGTGGAGTGCAGTAATCACCTTTACAACTGGACTGTTACAGTAATACTGCAACCAGCTTTTCAAAATAACATTAGTGGTGAGTTTAGACTCTTAGACCAGCACTTGGCCAGCATTATTTCAGGACAAACTCACAGAAGTCCACCTCAGTTAAGAGCATACTGTATTATTGTTTGAAGCCTGTTAATGTTTTTAAAGAGGTGCAAACATATACTAGTAATTTTATTTCATTGAACTGTTGGTTTATCTTGGCTCAGGAACCTTGAAGCCAATTTTCAGGCAAAAGTTCCTTTGCGAAGCTTGTGATCGTCAAAACAGTGTACTAATAATCATAAGGATGGTGATAATTTGTATATCATGTATTTCCTAGATATTGCAAATATTAACATGGCTCCCTATTGTGTAGGTATTATTGACAGGTAGTGAGAGAGATGCAGGTGCTCATTACACAAAGGTACTCTAATTCTGCAATCAAGTCCATTTCATCGCTTTGCAATCAGTTTTCACGTCATCAGCTGCGCAATCATCTCTGTTATGTTGCCTTTGTCCTCAGTTTGCTCCTCTTGTGTTTTTTATTTTTATTTTTTTCATTTTCTCAACTTTTGTTTGAATGTAGGTTGTCAGCATAGGTTTAGTATTACTTTGTTCTGTTTTCATTAGATTTTTAAAAAACATTTTAACGGGTTTTCTGCTGTGTTTGTCTTTCGCTTTTTCACTGGTCTGCATAATGAATTTTGTCAAGTCTGACAATAAAGCAGCTTGTATGTGTTTTCTTGTTGATCGATACTGTGTACAGGTGACTCTCAATAACAAGGATATATTTACTGTGGTGAGATCTTCAAGGTCTCTTGACTTCAGATAAGTTGGGTGGCCAAGGGTTCCCATCCTTATTTGACCTGCATTTCAATCACAAATAAAAAAAGGAGTTTTTGTGGTCAGCAGATATTAATTTGTGTGATGTTGGGATATATTTGAGCATATTTTTTTTTTTCTTCGTAGGCAGACGAAATCAATACTGTAGACTAAAATCAAGAGTATTAATTATCTAACTGTGCATGAGTGACAAGATGAATAAAAACTTCTCTCTTGATGATTCATCTGTGAGCTAGATAATCATTATTTTCTAAGTGAATATTTCATGATCATTGCAGAACTTTATACCATGTTTTAAGCGGCAGTGTTGCATGGAAATTCTGAATGAGGTTGCAGAAAGGTGTTTTCAAATTGGTAATTTTTTCAGACCTCTAAATAAATTCATTGTACTGACTTCTTAATAATACCATGGGGTATAATAAAGTTAGGTAAAAGCAATTAGTATAGGAAGACAAATAAGACCAATAAGAGTTAGCTAGGATCAATTACTAGTACAATGCTAATGGGAGCCCCATGTCCATGCCTGCTGCTCCATTAAAATCAATTAACATGTCTGAGGAATATTTTGCTGTCTGCACATCATGACGATTCTGTACACTTTCCTGATTCCTGCTGTATTTTAGGACATGTCTTGTACATATCATGATAAGTATTTAGTGAAACCTGAAATAAAGTGGAAAAAAAAAAACACTCCCTTGGCTGAAGAAAGCAGTTACATGTAGATAAGATGGAAATAGATTGCCTTTAATGGGCAGAAAAAGAAAGTATAAACACAAACGGGTTTAAACATTATTAGTGGCTAGTAGATGTGTTGATAGTAAAGTGGCAGTATTTTTCAGACGATATATCAACCATTGATAGCACACACATCTCAGAAGCATTTGTGTGAATGGTAATTGGTCATATCTGAGGAGGGAGCTGGCATGATAGGAATTTCTCTTTAATGTGATCCTCCCACTAAAACGTAAACAAAGTATACATTTAAACAAAATGGAGGATTCAAACAAAAGTCGATACCCACATTCAAATAGATCTATAATGGATTTTAACTCCAAAACCTTGACAGACTAAACAGATTATTTGTAGAGGGCATTCAAGACCATTTCTGAATAACCAATTAATAATTAAACTGATATGTGTACTTAAAGAGGAGCTGAGGTTATCTCGGGTCATCTCAGGTCAGTCAGTTAGGTCAGCATATCTGAGGACACATTACTTTGGAGAAAGGTCGGCTGTAATACAAGGCACAAGGCAGGTGCTTGGCATTTCTGATCTTTGCTGGACTGGTAAAGCTTGGGCCAGTTGCAAGGAAATTGTTTTTTTTCTCAGTGTTGCTTTAAAAAGGGATGACATTTACCACACAAGGGCCTTTCTTTCCACTGGTTTATCCCTGACCTCTTGGGAGTTTGCCTGCTATTGGGGTTACCTGTCTGGTTTATTGTGTTTTTGAAGAAATGTTTCCATTTGGGGATCATAAAGGAGTGGCAGAGATGAAAGTGGCCTAGATATATCTGTAGGGTCACCAAGTCTAGGTGATTGTTGTCTTCTTAAAGTCTGCAGCATCCATTTTCATGTAGGGAATAATGTCAATAATACAAGAAACTTAATATTAAACAGGGAAGCACAATTATTTGAAGTAGAAAAGCACTCACAAAGCACTCGACTTGTTATAAGGCAGCTCAGTTCTCATTATTGATTATTTATTGGATCACTACCAAAATCTTATCGATTCCAAGTACTAGTAAGCCCATTATGACCTATCCTAAACATTTTATCAGGATGTTTCCGTATCTTACTAAGTTTTGCTTTTAAAGAACAAAGCAGTTTTCTTAATTGTTGAAGTATGAAGGCAGTACTAGTAATGTGTGCAGAATTTGCATTATCTGACTGTGTGGTATAATTTTATCTGTTTTTTTTTTTTTCTTTGTGAACTATTTCATGTTAAAAGATCAAGATTTCATCATTGTTGACATAATATATTCAATTTACTTTCTTTGTCTCTTCAGGTAGCAGCTGAATTCTGCCAAGATTTTCAGAGATAGTGAGTATGACTCCCTCAGGGGTTTTTATCAATATGGAGTTCCTGGAATATGTATGCTTGTGTGATTATCACCATTACTCTTAGATTTCTTGCTAGATAACACAAGGCAGCAAGGTGTGTGTGTGTGTGACATGCGTGGCTGAGAAGTGTGCATGAACGTCACATGCATCTTGCTGAAGAGTGGTGTATGTGACTTAGTTTTTGTGGGTGAGGAGAACAAGAACCAGACGTGGTGTATGTAGCTACTGTATCGTGCATGATACATATGTGTGTTTTTCAGCGAGATTGTACACAACATTCTGCTTTTTGAATTAATGTCCGCTGTCGTATGAGGATGAATTGATTAAAGAATTGTAGACTGCTTTTCATTTTGGATGAAGTTAAAGTTGATTTAGTAATTTACTACAATTTTGCCAAACAAGACAAAATGAAAAAAAAAAATATATATATATATATATTGTATATATATATACACACACACACACACACACAGTATTGCAAATGTTTATCCATAAAATAATTGTCTTCTGCCCATGAAAAGCAGATAGCCTGTTAGTTTGTGCACAGGTGCAGTGTCTCGTAATATGTCTGTACTCCGCCTCTCACATGCAAGAATCTGCTGCCAGCAAAGGCAACATTTCACTTCATGGACACTTCATTAAGTTGCATGATTCAGTATGCTTTGTAAGAAGAATTATGCCAGTGGCTACAACGGCTGAAGTTCTAGCCAGTTGGGAGAAACTAATCCCTTGATTTGGACTGACTCCAAAATAGAAGATAACATGTTTGAATAAAAGATGAAGTTCTGTTACATTTTGCAGTAGTGGTAGTATATGAAAGGGTCTCTTTTAAGCTTTTTTTTTTCTCTCTGGGTATGGGACTCCCTGCCCCCCCCCCCCTTGCCCCCCCCTCCCCACCCCGAGTCCCCAGCACTCCCACCTTGGTCTACCTGTGATATATTGTACAATCTCCCTTGTTTCTGTTTCAGCTGTGACTATGGCTGCTGCAGTGAGGGTTGTTGTAGCTATGATGGCTACTACTACAGTTGGAGCATTTGGAACATGTGGTATTTCTGGTAAGATATTCAGTTTCATGATTTAAGATTGAAACACGAAAAAGTAACCTGAATTTGGGCAGCCTTAATGAAAACATAAATTTTTTAATTTTTATTTATTTCCAACATGGATAAAATTGCTGCACATCTGTAGATGATACATTGCTAGTAAAAGCTACAGAAAGTTTACATTTTTGATCTGTAGCAATTTCTAAGAAATTGAAGATTTAACAAATGTATATTTTTGTTCAAAATGTAAATGAAGGAATTAATTTGACCAAAAATAAGCATACTAGTACCTGATGGTCAAGATCTTTTCATGAAAAGAATTATTATAAAAAATAATACATTCATTGCATCAATTGCCAATTCTTCTTCAGGTTCATAATCATCTTCATCCTTCTGTCGTGTTTCGGGGCATGTGGCTATTGGCGCCGTCGCCAGTGGATGTTGGCCCAGCAACGCACCACCACTGCACAGCAGGGTCATCTCTTCATACCCCCCATGGACTATACCAACCCTGCAGGCCCCCAGATGTACCCGTATGGGGGGCCATACCCCCAGCAACAGGCCCAGGGGAATTTCCCCTCTCCACCCCCTTATGCAGAGGTAGGGGCCACTCATATAGCACCAGAGAGATCTGTTCTGCTCTATAACTGTAGCTAGTAGAAAATCTGTCTTAGCAAAGACTTCTATGAATACAGACAATTCAGTTGTGTGGTCACAAATTGTCCAGTGTAGCTGTGACCCTAGAACACTCTTGACTGTCAACTACTAGAATACTGTTTGTGGACAAATACAGGCCTACCCAACTACCAGACTCGGCATTGAATGATCCTGAATTCACCGGTAGATCAGACCACACTACCCGTTTTCAAGGTGTGTGTCAGATTGCATAACACAGTAGCAGACGCGACACCGCTCTTGCCTAGTACGCGATGTGATAGTGACGATTCTCAGCGGGGTTGAAAAGCATTGCATCACCACTCAAAATTTGTTCAGGGTATGATACTGTGTAATTCGATCTGACACACACCTTGAAAACGGGTAGTGTGGTCTGATCTACCGGTGAATTCAGGATCATTCGGTGCCGAGTCTGGTAGTTGGGTAGGCCTGAAATAGCTAGCTACAAGACCAAAATAGCAAAGCTGGCTTTAGTTAGTTGGCTGTCTGGTTTCAGTTAGCTGGCTATCTGATGTTAGCAGTGTGTCGAGCTAAGCCTTAGACTGATCCAGAAATATGTACAAGTATTTGATGACTTATAAAAGGATTTCAAAGTGGATTTCCTATTATATGTGAGTGACATTGAGCCAGAGTAGCCCAACTTCTTTGTTAGAATATCTTTTACTTTGTGAAGAGTTTTCTTATTAACAGATTTTATGCCAAACTCTTTCTCATTCTATCTGATATTTCCAGGTGATTTCCAAACCAGATGCATACCCCCCATCAAAGCAGGATCTGCCCCCATACCCAGGGGAGCCAGTGGTAACAGCCGCCACCACTACAGAGAATACAAATACTGCAGTCAACTCCCAACAACAGGTCTCCGCAGGTACAGGACCATGATGATAATGATGACTTTTTTTCCAAGATAATTTAATAGAATACTTCATTAAAGTTGTATATTTAGCAGTGTACTTTAGATATTGACATAAAATAATTTTAAAAACATATAAAAATATCAGAATTTTTTCCATATTAGGTGCTGCCGCTATTCCCCAGCCCCCGCCATATCAGCCATCATCAACGCCACCAGTTACGGACCCCGCGGCGCAAAACCCAGAACTAGTAGCTGTCATCACAAGCCACACCTAGTTTTCAGCATAGCCCTGCCCATTTTTGGGTGGAAGCCCGCCCCTTTCAGCAGTGCTCCACCCTTATTGAAAGGACTCTGAACTGTGTGACACTCTTATGGAGTTGAACTTTGTTCCCATCTCTCTACTACAAAGCTGTAACAAACTGACACAGCACCTCATTGTATGAAGCAGGAGAAAGAACAGGTCCTGTGACGTGGACTGTCATTATCTTTTTGATTGACAAGTTGGGATTGGCATTAAAATGCATTAGCCCCGCCCACATTCTTCAGAGTTTTGAGCTCAGATTACACACACGGGATAAAAACTTAATATTAACTTCCTGTTTAGTATTCAAGATGCGTATTGTCTCTTGGCACTGTAAGAATAAAACTGGAAGGGGGTGCTTATTTATAGTATATATATTAATTGTGGCAATATGAAGGAAAACATTGCCAGTCTTTGCATATCTGTGCCTGTGTTTCATATTTTTTTACAAGCTGGAAACTAACATAAACATAATATCTCTTAGCTGATGACTTTCTTGTTTCTTTTCATCAAAACTTTTCTTTGATCTTTTTGATAAAATCAAAATTCAAGATTGCAATATTTATAGTACCCAGTTATAATTGCACAGGGTTTGTTTTCAATGTATTTAAGCACGTTTTTTTTGGTGTTGTGTATATTTCTTGTGTTGTGTAGGTAAGTTTGTATATAGAAGCCCTGGATATTATCGTGATAGAAAAAAATATATTTTCATGGCTTGGAGATGCTTTGCAGTATTGTTCTCAAGGAATGCTAATAGACTTAGAAATATTTTGATTAAAAAGTCGGCCTCATCTCCAGACAGATCTGACATTGAAGTGTTTATGGTCACACTTAGTTTGTGCAATTGCTGGTTAGCATCCCCCCCCTCCACCAAGCCCCTTTCCCATTGTCTACAGTCTTTCAGAGCAAATTAAAATTTGTTGACTGATAATCTTTCTTTAATTTATTGAATTTTTGTCTGCACCTATGGTGGTTTTGGTGTGCAGACGTCTAATCATGGTGATATATTTATAACCAATTTGTATTTCATATGTGCTGACATATTTTCTTGTGCATACGCAACATGAACATTTCTATTCTATTTGTCAGGTTATGTGGATCCATGGTATTTTACACATATACCTATATGTACAAATGTGCCTACTGTGCACGGATAGTATTTGGAATTATGTTATTATTGGGGGTCGAAAAGGGAAAATTTAAGCCCCGGCGCTCTTTGACGAGTTGTGATGAAATGCATTTGATGTATGTAAAACGATATTGAATGATTTAAAAGTTGAAAAAATTGTGAAAAAAATTCAATATTGGAATTAAGGTGTTTGAAATTGTGAGTAAATGTAGTTGTTTAGTATTACTAGTGCCTTCAAGTCTTGCCTGTACATTAAAATATATAATGTCATCAACATTTTTATCTGGCTGGATTCCCTCATCAATGAAGTGGGCAGTGACAAAGGTGGAACAGAAATGTTGGAACTGAATCAAGGTAGAATAGGAAATTTATTAGATTAATATGAACATTTGGATATCATATAAGACTGAGCTTGTTTTACATATTTATCTCCTCTGGCACTTATAATATGACATTGCTTGAAGGTGTGATTTAGAAGTTCGTTTCCCACTTAATATTTATAAGAATTACTCCCAACTTCAAATGAACTTTTTTTCTGAAAATAAAGGGGTAAAATCAATTTGCCAGTCTTTATTTAATCTGAATTAAAGCTATTGCCTTAGATTTTTAAATTTGCCATCCTTTGTCAATGTTTTGTTATTCTACTTAAAGAAAATCAAGGTGGTATTGACATAAGTCTGGCCACAGACGTATAAATGTGATTGTTTGTCGCTATGGTATTGGTCAGCTATGGGTCATATTAATTAATTAAGGACCAATTTCATGCTACTAGACAGGTGTTTATTACCTGTGTTGTGATAAAATAATAGAACAACTGATGAAGATCAGTGTATTGGTTTTCTATTGGTGAAAGTTGCAAATGAAATAACTAGCATTTGGTTGATAATAAAATCAGGATGTAAATCAGAACGGGAGCGTCTCGAAAGTTCGAAGGTTCATTTGTCCAAAAAATGGTAACATATTCAGCGTTTTTTTTTTAATCAAGGTTCTGTAGTGAACATTCGGACCAATGAACCTTCGGTCTATTGAACCTTAGGATTATTGCTATGGTCCCCCATCAGAGCAGCTAGAGGTGCATGACAAAAGGGAAATGTGACCCTCTCTTTGGCACAGCGTTTGTGCTTTTAACTGGATTTGGAAGGGGAAGGGTGATGGAAGTGAGAACGATGTTTGAAAAAAATAAAATTGTATTTATGTGAACATTATCCCAGAGTTTTTTATTTGGAGGTCGGTTAGTTCTAAAGGAATTTTGTTATTTAGGGTGGTGCAGTTTACCTGCATAGAGCTTGAATTAGACGCTTTTTAAGTGGGTAGTTGTATTATGTTGAACTGCCTTTTCTCCAGCTTTGTTTTCTGTTTTTGTTAAAAAATTGAAATTATCTCAACATAAAGTTCTTTCAAACAATATGTGGAGTTCTTGTCATATGCATTCATTTATTAATGTCAGTACATAATTATGGTATGGCACCTTATACACACCTCTCTTGCTGGTACAAATTTCTCGAGATATTTTCACGCATCAACATTTTTCCCCCCCGAGCTTGGTCCAATTTTGCAAAACATTTTCAGACCCAAGTAGTTTAAAGTTAAAAGGGTACCAAATAAAAGGACAGCAAGATTATTAAGTGACCATTGCCACAGTATTCCCATTCATGTCGACAAATGGGCATGCTGGGTAAAAAAAAAAGTGAATCAAGGGGGGAGGGGCGTAGGTCTCGAGTTCAGACAGTTTTTTTTATATTCTGTTGTCTGTTAGCAAGTCTTTGGTCTTGTCCTTATCAAAAGTAAGTTGTAGACAAACATATTTTCTCCTCATTTCAGAATGTGGTAAAAAAAACAAAAGACCACAGACTTAATTTCCCCGTCTGTGATTTATTCTTAAACTGCCATCCCTATGAATGAGAAAGCAGTTCAAGATAAATTCTGAAATATGTACAAAATAATCTATACAATATAACTGATCATCTTACATAATCTTGCACAATGATTTTACGATGAAGAACAATTTACATGTACAACACATATTTTACGATGTTAGATTACACAAAAAATTATCAACTTAGAAAATAAATGAAAGAAAAAAAGCCTTTGTTTCTGTTTTCTGTAATTTTTTTTTTCCTTTTCATGTTTCAATGTTTCATAAAGAAGTGATCCGGTCACAGTGACATAAGCAGCAGAATCTGTTTTCACAACAACATAAGTTTTTCTCATTCATTACCAGGAAAGGGAAATTAAGATCTAGTTATTTCCCAGAAAGTGTATTTTTTTTTCAATAACATCATTAATGGTTCATAGTTAATCTCCTAATTAACACCATCATAGACTTGGTCTCCTCTGTGAGCGCCCTCTAGTGTCGAACCCGGATCTAAGCACTGCCCTCTAGTGGTAGTGAATGAATCAAGCGCCTTGAAGTGACAGTGTAAATCCGTGGTGTCTGCTTTAAAAAGTGAGAAAGAGACTGAAAAAGAAAGAACCGTTTTATAGTCTGCTAAAAATATCTTAACAAGACAAAAACTGACACAACAGCTGTGAACCACTGGTCTATTATCTTCTGGTATCCTATTTGAGACTAAAATGCCCAATTTCACTTTCCCATTACAAAGATAAGAAAGCAAAGAGTGTTGTTTGCAACTATGTTAATCTCTTTCATTAGATGCTTTGTTACAGTTTAATTTTTCATTAATTTAATTACATATCTGATATTAGGTGCACCCTGAGGGACTTTAACCATTTTAAATGACTAAATTGGGAAACAGAAGTAGCTGACCAGGATATTGAGAAAAATATGACTTTGTGACACCTTCAGAAGCTTTGATTTTTAAACCAGAAATACTGACATCAAGCTCATTGAATATTACAGTTTAAAATTATGTGATATGGTTGATGTTTGTCGTGTGTACCAGTAAACACATGTATCACGCTGGAAGTCGTATGTCCTGTCATCTCACCTGAGAAGGTTAAACTCTGGCATGCCTGGTTCTGGACCATGTGAATAACCTGAATAAATAAATAAATAAATAAAATAAATAAAGAGCAATGATATACATTGATTACATCATTTAACTTTTTGATTCATATCTTTATTTTTTCTTTAAATTTACAGTGTATTTTTACTTTGTTCGCCCTATAACAGTAAATTTTATTTTTAAGTTCCAACATATGATGCAGTATACATAGTGAGGTGTAGGTTCAAATTCAAACTCAAGACAAAACTCCAACACCTTGACTCAGTCAAAGACTGAATAATTATTCTACCCAAAGTCAACGTCAAAGTAAGAATCGCCACAGACGTTCAAGTGATCGCCTTACCTAGATACAACACAAGTGGTATAAACCCAATGTGGAATAACCGCTGGGCGAGGCCTACAACCGTAGAAATTCTACCTTTCATGGTTGGACTCATATTTGATGTAGCAGGCGTGCAGCAACAACACCGGAAGAGAGTGACTCTTCTTATACGCATGCGTTCACTGGCCTAGATTGCATCTCATAAGTGTTGTGATTGGTCTAAATTAGTTTGCGAATAGATTCATCCAATCACGACGTGCAACACAAAAGCTTGAAGGAATTCCTCTCGCCACATGGAGGACAAGATGTCTGCTCCCACGGCGCACGAGGGTGAAAGGTCTTCTAAAACCGTCGTGGTTTCAAGAGGAGGGACAAGCCTTGTGGAATTTAGACCATTGTTTTCGCAAGATGCTAAGTGAGTCTCTCTCTCTCTGTCTCTCTCTCTCTCTCTCATAAACACTCTGCGTTAGTAGTTGGCACGTTACTTTCACTCCACCCTTCGTAAATAAAAGTTAGGACCTACGTTAATCATTTATGTGAACACCTGAATAAAATTAAATGTCTGTACTGTTGTAGCGATTTGGGATGAGTGCAGAAAAATCACCAGCCAGACCAGGAATCGAACCCGGGACCTCTCGCTCTGTTCTCTCTATTAGATCCCCTGTCGCTTCTCGATCAGCCCAAGCTGACCAGCCAAGGAATCAATACATGGTACTCATCACTAGGAATACTCCTTCCCAGCCTCTTCTCCTTACCAGGTCGTACCCCTCCTGGCCAGCTTCATGGTGTTCTTAGTCAACACTGAGCCCCAGCGGGTCTAGATATAACCGACGCCCATTCTCCTCAGTGATCTTGAGAATGTCTTCCCAGTCACACCCCGGTTATACTTAAAGGCGGAAAGACAAGGAAAGACAGGTTAATTGAAGTAATGATAAGATATTGAGGGTCATATATGTCTAATATGATACCCAAAGTGCTTGAAATGCCCTTAAATAAGAAATCCAGTCACTTTGCAGTGGTTTAAATACACAAATATTCAAATACGAAACTTCGTCCGCCATCTTGAATTTCCGTAGCCGGATCTAGTGTCCTGTCTTGTGAATTGCACCTATCTTAGTGATTCTAGCAGACAACATACAAACTGCAGACAATACTGCAGACAGATATTGGCAAACTAAGAAGATTGAAGGGTTTTATATATCTAGAACTTCATATACGTAAGTGGATGAAATTTTAAATGTCTCCTCATTAATATTACAAATGATATATATTTAGCAAAGGTTTTGTCATTTTGAAGACGTTTTGAAAGAATATCCCTGAAAAACTGAGCTAAAAAAATTAAAAAATAGTCGTTGTGTTTCTTTGAAAAAAATTGTAAATCTACCGGGGTATTGTGCTTGGTATTTCAAATGCAGTAAAACAACTCTCTTTCCCCTTTTTATAAATTAACAAAAATTTTATTCTCTTTCAAGCCCGTAGCCAGCATTTTCAGAGGGGTGGTTCTTTTTTTCAAAAAGGTGGACCTTTCGACCCCCCGAACCCCCCCTGGTTACGGGCCTGTCTTTTATCCTTGGTTCTTAAATGACGGACAAAATTTATAAATTGGGTTTAATAGCAAGAGTTGAAAACAAAATATCATAAGTATTAGGTGTTTTCTAAAAAAAAATTGTCTTTTGAAGATTTCGTCTCTTGTTCTAAACAAAATTTTGTCACTAAAAGACCGAGTGCCAATTTTTTTTTTTTTAATTCAAAGCACAGGTATCCTGTTCAAAAATGAGTAAAATGTACGTTCAGACAATAAATACAAAGTGGCATCTGTACCAACTTGCCTCATTACCAAATTAAATCTGATGCATACCTGTATTTCAACTTTATCTCAACACTGAGAAGATTAACAAAATGCTACTTCGAAATATTGCTACACACTAATAGTTATAAGGCCACAGTGAAAAAATATATACTAGTACTCAGCATGACTCAGGAAAACATTGCTCTAAAATGAGTAAATGTACGTTCAAACTATAAATACAAAGTGGCATTTGTACCAACTAGCCTCATTACCAAATTAAATCTGATGCATAATTTCAACACTGACAAAATACTACTACTAATTATTGCTACACACTATGGCGAAAAAATATATTCAGCATGCTTCTGCACTTCAACAAAGTTTGTGCTATCTTATTATTGCTTGAATGAAACAGTTTTTGCTGCTCGTCGCCTTTTTGTCTGACTAGGCTTCCTTCCTTTTGCTGCAGATGTAAGTACACTTAAGCCATCTTAAGAGGCCATATGTTTGTGGAACTTTGGTTCTCTCAAGAATTTCATAATGTGTCTGGTCCTGGAATCTGCTGTCTTGTCATTCCAAATGGATCGTTCTACAGCATAATTGGCAAATTTGGCATCAAGCTTGAACTGTCCTCTCCCAATCAATGCTCTTTCAACATCTACATATTGAGCTTGGACTAACTGATGAAGAGAATTGATCAGGGTTGGGATGTCTTGTAAACTCCACTGGACCTTCATTTTAAGCATGTGATTTACTGATTCAGCATTATTATTAGTCCATCCTGAGTGCACTTCCGGCCTGTCAATGATTGTTTGGACATTTTGTCTTATCAGTGGATTGATCCTTTGGTTGTAATAACCTTCAAATGTAGGTACTGTTTTCCTGATTTGCTCTATTACGTATTCATTGCGGATGTCAAACATGACCACACTGTCGGCTGCAGACAACCCATTTTCTCCAAATAAAATGCTACTGATTTCTTTTCTAGCATGCAATGGGGCACCAACAATATCTTGCAGATTCTTGCTTACATTGGCCTTCAGATGTCGTTGGCAACTAATGATATTTGCATTACTGAAAGCAAATTCCACTGCCTTTTTCAATGCTTTCTCATCATCCATTCCTATAATTGGCCCCTGTGTTGTTTTGTCCACTTGCATTGCTATTGTTGAGAAAAACTGGGCGTATGTCTGCCAGTCAGAATTGCCATGAATGAGAATGGGTCCTAAGAAGATGGGATGCTCATTAGTGCTTGTTCTCCTCAAAGAAATGTTCTTAAAAGAAGTTGCTGTCACATGTAACTGACCTAAATTAAAAGTTTTATCTACTCCAAGGATGGCGGATTCAGATTCCTGGCCACAGAAACAAAATCTTTTTAAGTCTGCTATCTGTTTGTCTGTGAATAGGGTGATAGATGGCACTTTTTGGGAGGAGTGCACTATGCTTTGTATGAAAGGGTGGCTGTGCATGTTGGTATGCAAAAAGTTGAAATTAGCTGCAAGGTTCCCAGCTCCCGTTGAATTTCTGCTTTCCTGCTTCTTCTTGGTTTGATAAACAGTATTCTGAACCTGTCTAAGATCGGCTGGTTTGTCTCTTTCATTATCATTACTTATTATCATCTCTTCGTAAATCTCTTTCGGCTTTTTACCTCCTTTTGCCTGTTCCCTTATCTTTTCTAGTACCGGCTTTGCAGTTCTTTGATAAGGAGGCGCCCCTTTGGCTGCATTCCCCCCATGTGGAGCTGGTGGTGGCAGTTTACCGATGTATTCCACAATTGCCACAGGAATTCCTTTAATCCAAGAAATCCTTCTCTTGTACGTACTGTCTCTTTTTAGCGTGGCATAATTTCGCTGCAGTCTGACAACCTCTGTTGGTTGGTCTTTCATAAGACAAAGGACCTTTTTGCCATTGGAGCGTTTTTCCGTGTAGTACTGGCCATCTTTGAGCAGGATTGTTGTCCATTTTCCATCTCTTCTGCCCATATGTGTTACAGGGGAGTTACTATTTTGCCACACCCCACAGTCATCAACGAACTGACTATTTTTCCCTTCACTACGTCTTTCTTCATTTTCCTTGTTGTCAACCAAAAAGCGAACATTTTCTTTTCTCCCATCAGGAATGTGATTCAGAGTCTCTGGCAATGATTGTAAAAGTTCGATGATATCACCTGCTTCCATATACTTGTTGATAGGTGCACCAACAAGCTCAGGTTCTACCTCCAGTGACGGGTCGTCTGTCTCAAAGCTGTGGTTTTTTGGTGATGCAGAGGAATTATCAGTAATACTGGGATCGTGGGTAGTGGAAGGAACAGGCTGTGACAGAATGTCATTCTCATCAATGTCCACCAAACCTATGGGAGTTGCATCATTCTCATCAGTGTCTACCAAACTCACTGACATCAACTACTCACCTGTCACAAATTATCTTTATCTCTATCAACTAGCAAAAATCAAAAACTGGTTATTAACACCAATGGTTATCTGGCAATCTCAAGTTCAGGCCTCAGAATCAAAGAAACACTTACCTGAGATTTTTTCATATCTCTTCTAGCCTGTAAAGATCACTCTTTTATTTTATTTTACACATTTCACAATATGACCCGAAAACTTACAGCTATAACTTAAGACGCAACAAGCTGATATGTAATCCCCTTCTCCCCCTCTTCATTTTGAAATCTATGTGTCTTGATCTAAATACCACTGTGTAGACATCACACCTGCTACACAACTAACCGTTTTTGCTATTCGCTTAATCATAATTGAATAATTACCTGTCATCATGTTTTATAAAGGAACAAAATCTTGGTTAAAATGTGTATAAGAACCCGTTATTCACACCGTTAGTTTCAAACAGGTTAATAATTTAATACACTTCTCACGTTTTAAAAACTATTTGGGTTTATACAATATTTTAAAATAAATTTAAGCTAGTAAATTGCTATTTTACTGTTGTCTGCTAGGGCCTTATATCATTCATAATTATATCTAAAAAACAAGGAGTATTGTATCCAATCACCCAGATTTCAAAGCAGTTCTAGACATAAAACTCCTCCAATCTTTTAATTTGCAAATATTTTAGCTGTCTGCAGTTTGTATGTTGTCTGCTAGAATCACTAAGATAGGTGGCGCTTCACAAGACAGGACGCTAGATCCGGCTACGGAAATCCAAGATGGCGGACGAAGTTTCGTATTGGAATATTTGTGTATTTAAACCACTGCAAAGTGACTGGATTTCTTATTTAAGGACATTTCAAGCGCTTTTGGTATCAGATTAGGCATATATGACTTTCAATATCTTATTATTACTTCCATTAACCTGTCTTTCCTTGTCTTTCCGCCTTTAAGTACCACCCGTCACACCCACGAATTCTTGCTACGACTTCCGCTACTTTTCCCAGGAAAGCTGGAGTGGACTTACTCCTCGTCGGACATCCAAAGTATGGGGCATCAGTTTCCAGCAGTAACCTTTGAGCAGGCATCCACCGTAACATCTCTATTGCTCTCCTACTCCTCGACATATCCATATACGTCCTGAAGATGGCAGTAGCTCCAAAGTAGGTATTGGGAAAATACTGTATCCACTTCTCTGCCATCCTCCTTGACCCTGTGAAACAGTGACAGTGAATTAACTGATCACTTTTCACATTCTCAGCCAATCGAAGAATGTTTAAACCGTGTCTCCAAGCCAGATCAGTAGCTGAGTCGTCCTTGGGCCCTCAACAGTGGAGCACCAGTACCAGGTCTTCTCTTAAAAATGTAACAGCCCTTTCCAGTACTTCAAACTGCGCTTCCCACTGCCATGATGAGGTGGTGAAATCCACACCAATCTCACCCAGAACAGACATCTCTGGATTGCTGGCTGCCTGTACAAACTATGCCCAGCCCTCTGGGTCAAACTCGTGTCTGGGGTGCCAACCCACCGACACCACGGCTCCCTCTGCCTTCAGAGAAGCCACCTCCTCAGCACTTGGATATGTTGCTGGGTCGCAGAATATAACAGTGACCCCTGACACTGTTATCTCCTTGTCATCCACCTGACTGGTCTCGATGACATCCCTTAACCAAGCTGTTGTTGGTAACTCCAAGTGCTGGCGCACACGATCCACGTGACAATGACTGTCATATCCTACTGGAGGCTTAGGAATAGACAGCTCTTCGTCCTCTTCGATGGAACATGTGCTCCTATACCCCTCCAGGTCTGACGGCCATAATTTAGCTATTAAGCTCAGCAAAGGCTTCCCCAACAGGAGAGATCCAACTCTGAGGGCATACTCGCCTGACAAACCCAGGCCTTGGATAAAGTTGTCTTCACCCTCTTTCCTACTCAGAGGTATCTCCCGATCTCTCTGGTCCATGATATCACAGGCCTGGCATAACCTGTCCATCTTTGCATTCATCCCAAATAGCTGAGTGGCTAGAAGATTAAGAGCTAGAAATCTTCTCTTTTCCATACCCTTGCCATCAAACACCGGATGAAACACAGGAGGGATATGCTTGTTCCATGCATGTTTCTCCGTTAAATGACTATTGCATGCAAAAATTGGACATAAGTCGGGACTCGGCGCACTAGGTCTTGCGCCCATGGCACTAGTAACTCCTCCATGACTGGAGCCACCACTCTGCCTCGATCTCTTAGCATGGGCCCATGTACCCAGCTCCTCGAGACCACTCGTTGAAGGTTTACTCGATGAACTCCCCCTGCAGTCATCCCATCTGCTCGTTGAACTCCCCCTGAAGTCATCTAGTCTTGCCTTAGACACATCTTTCCGGTCCTTGGCCACTTTACTTGAAAGTGGGCAATCTTTGACTATGTGCCCCAGCTCCGAACATCTGAAGCACCTATCCTCCTCGGACAGAGTTAGGCACTTCCGAGCCACATGCCCTACTTTCTTTCACCTGAAACACCTTTTTTCCTCATCCTTCTTGGAAATTTTTGAAGGTACCTTAGGAGGTGTTTCCTGCCTTGTTGAGACCTTGGTTTTCTTTACTAACCATGCCCGACCCTAAGGCCGTGGTTGGTAAGAGCCCCCAGTCTTAGCTGACTTTTCTCGACTCTGTGTCGTTACCACATCATTTGGACTTGGTTTCTTGACAGCCTCGGCATAGGTAAGCTTTTCCCGCAAGTCCATCTCACTACCCCAGCTGGTAAGGGTAGCCCTCGGTGACCTCCTCACCGGACTCGAAGGTGTGTCCACCTCCATTGACTCAGTGGGAGTCCTCGGTATACTGTCTGATACTGACCCCGACTCCTCACTCTCCCCTCGCACTGCTGCCTCCGGACTTCCTCTAACCACAGTGCTCGGAGTCACTGCATCCACCCTGTGCTCCAAAGTAGTGTCCTTTTGAAGTCTGAAATCTCGATATGTGGCATGCCACGCCTCTCGAGTACCTTTCCCCTTTCTGGGAGTGGCAACCCTGGCAACATGCTCAAATACCCAACTGCAGGATTGAAAATCTACAGCCACCAGGCCCTTAGCACAATCTTTGCGCCAAGCCTCCGCATCTCTCTCCCTAGAGTAACAGTGCCTCAGCATCTCCCTGCAAGGCCATGGGTCGGCTGGCAATCACATTTACCAACTCCTGGCTTGGGTGGAGCCTCTTATCCTTGCAGGACTCTAGGATCGGCTTGATAAGGTCAAGCCACTTCTGCTCTTCCATCTAAAAAGAAAAAAGAGAAGAATTTTGAGTAAGAGTTATTTGACTTAAGCTAAACTCTTAGCTAATTAAACTCTTTATCTCTACTCGACCTTAACTCTCTACTCGACCTTACTCGACCTTACTCGACCTTAATCCTCTACTCGGCCTTAATCCTCTACTCAATCCCCAGGATTATGGCCCGGACGTGTGCAATCCTCACACTTATACTTCTTTATCAAGAGGGCGTCAGACGCAGTAATGTTTACACAGGACCCATGATACCATTCACTACAATGATCGCACTGTATCATAAATCGGCCCTGCCATTTCTGCCTACAGTTTCAATATACCTTGTCATCCCCCTTGATTGTAGAGTCAACCACGGGTTTTTTTTCTCCATTGCTGGATCCACAGAGGTATCTCACTGTCTCGACAAGGTTTTAACCTGTCATGATTGGCCACGAACACCGCATTTCTTACCTTCACCCGGTATAAATACGAGCTCAGCCTCTCCACGATGACTCCCGGACCCTTCCACGGGGGACATAGTTTCTTACACTTCCCCCGGCCTCCGGCCGAATCCAGTATGTAAACTGAATCCCTGACCACATAAGTTCGCTCCAAAATCCTCAGGTCCTAATCCCTTTTCATACACTTAGAAGATTCTTTGAGCTTACCTCGTGCAGTCATGTGTGCCTTCTGTAGGCCGGCTTCTAACTCAGCCACATTTATGTATTTTAAAATTACATTTTACTCCGTGTTTCCCAAATGATTTTTTTTTTCTGTGTTAAAGGTGTCTGTTTTGCTGTGCCGGCCACACAGTCAAAGTGTACAGTACAGTCAGTGGGGAGTGTGTGAGGGAGCTACGGGGACACACAGACACCGTGACAGGAGTGAAACAACATCCAAAGAACAGATTACAGGTAACTAACATTTGATACTAGAGGGTTCACTGGTTATTCTAACTAGGGGCGTATTCTCATAGATTTTAGATCGATCTATCCCCGTGGGGAGTCTCACTAGATTACTGTCAGATAATCTGACTTAAATGTCCATCCAGCCTACTACAAGTTGTAAGGGGGGTAATTAACTTTCGTGCCTGCTCGGCTGACAGCTATTTAGCGTGAACCCCCAGGGAGTTAGGTCGATCTAGTTTGGATCGATCTAATCTCTGGGAATGGGGTCTAAGTGTAGTTGAGATCACTGTGGGATTGCTTTCTCTCTAATGTCAACTCTTAGAGGTTGTCTCTTGAGATGGCCGTATTGGAGCTCGTAATTATAGACAGTGACGGTAATGATGATGTACACATGGGGGTGAACACTCCACCAGACCTGGGTACACTCACACATGTAGTTTTCTTCACCAAAGATTTTAATTGACTGTGTGAACATTGCAAGTCACATACTGCTGAAAGGCCAGTTAGTCTTGGCATTGTCAGTGCTTTCGAGTAAGATAAAATTCATCTGCGTACCTGTCACTACTAGTATTCAATTCTGCTATGTAATGATAAACTTGTTGAAGACTTCCATAAGTGGACTTGTGAATGTGTCAATTAGAGTGGCTGTTTATGATTGTGTAACAGACCGATAGCTCGGGTTGATGTTTCTTTATTATTATTGTTCAAATATCTGCAAATATCTGCAAGAGCAATATAAACAAATTAATTTTAAACAATTACATTAACAAAATTTACACTAACGAAAGACAAGAAAGACAGAACAAAGAAATAAAAATATAACAATGCCAAAACACCATAAAAAATAAATATATAAATTTAGAAATGTATGAATTTAAACTATGGATTGGTCCTTTATTAAATATAGTAAAACTTACCTGCAAGAACACTGGAATACCTATTTCAGTTATTCAACCTGCATCTCCGTCCGACTTTCAGGTGGAAATCAAATTTTATGGGGCGCGGTCTTTCAACCTGTGACCTCCACGTACACATACGAACATACACGTTACACACCGAACACAATCACAGCTAACACAACAATTCTTTATGATTATAACGTATAGTTAGAACTTCGGGTTGTTGCTTAAAAAATTGTCCATTGCAGATTTTGTCCTCGTCACTGGACCAGAGTATAATACAGTGGGACTATTCTGATGGAGTAGCTCTCAAGGTGAGGAACTTTGAATATTTGAATGTCTGAATTTGCATGAATTTGTACTTTCGGGTCATATTTTTATGACACTTTCATAAACCTGTCATACCATGTTTTTGTTTTCAGATTTGTAGTAGAATTTATAATAATGTTATGATCACGTTTAGTTTTATCTGTTCTGTTTGTGAAAATGCATTGAGTACAACATAACAATATCAGTTACAAAACGTGAAGATCTTACAGTATGTTGCTGTGATGAAAGCTAGCTTCTGTGGTTTCGCAAAGTCTGAGATGACCGTGATGACCCCAAGCTCCTTGGCTGTGATTCTGAGCAACTTTTATTATAAAAACAATAATTTATTTTACTTTTCAGTTCCAATTTAAGATAATTTTCAGTGATGCATTTATTTTTTGAAGCATATTTTAACCAGGATTTACATCATTTATTACGCACTGATGCACACACGCACACACACATTACAAAACCTTAAAGAAAATGTGTTTGTATTTCAGACCTATCAGCTGAACTTTCCCATCCATGTCCTTCTAGTGTCAGACAGCTCTGAGAGTCCTGCTTATTATGCAGTACGAAAGTCTTCTTCAAAAAGTAGGTGACTTTAACTACTTCGATGCTTTCAAGACATATGGATAATTTTGAATTAGATTTGTTGAATTTAGAACAGATGTATCTGCAATTATGAGACTGCAGTATTATGTTTCTTCCATCTAGTTTGTGAAGAACTGATACATATTGCACAATAACCAAACTTGAAGATAACAGAAAACATTTTTCATGACTTGATTTTACATTCTAGGTTTTGAGCTTGTACAGTTTCATCTTCCTCGACAAGCCAGTGATAAAGTTCTCCATCTGCGTACAGTCTTGGAGAGAGTGCGTAAAGAGGAGAGATGTCTTGCGCTGGGAGTGCTGGTAAGTGAGCACGTCCTCACTAGCTGTGGTTTTGACATGGTTCCTGTACTGTTACAACTGAGTTAGTTGTGACTGCATTGGATGTGTTTTGTATTTTCTGTCTTTTGAGATGGCATGGGATGATTTAGTTTTGCTAATTTAATGTTTAAGTTTTGAATGTGTTAGTTGTGACCGTTTGTTTTAGTTGTGACTGGGTGAAATATGTTTGTTGTGATTGCGTTGAACTTGTTTCTTAGAACTAGTAAAGGGTGTCATCTAATATTTTGACTGCAAAAATTTAAAGATTTATACTTTGTGGAAGTATATGGTTCCTGTAACTAGTATTATTGGCAAAAGACAGAGAGTGCAGACATGCTGAAACTGTTGGTCCGATCGGTCATGACCGAGAAAAATTGTCTGGACCTGTAATTGGTCGGTCCAAAAGACCGACAAGAGTTTTAAGAGCCGCATTTTGAACTTACTGTCATCATTCGACATACTTCACGAATAAAATTACATAAAACCCAAACCATTTTTTTCCCTTCCATTTCAAACCTTTCACATTCACAAACAAAGTAAACTACCCCAATCGTATTTGTAGTATATGTCTCAAACAAATAGGGTTATTTCCGGTCCGATAAAAATCCATTCGGTCTGACAAATTTTTCATTACTGCTGTTCCAAATGTCTGGCCATTCTGAAAAGTTTTCAGCATGTCTGGAGTGATTTACCTTTTGCACATTTTCAGTTATTTTAATCATCAAATATGAATTTTAAGGCAAAGGTGGGGAATTCTCCTGTTCCCAGACTATGTTGTAGATGATGTTTGTGTATCTTCAGGGGGAGTACATAGCAGCAGTTCAAGGGAGGACACTAATTGTGCATTCCTTTAAGAAGAAACTCACAAAACAGTAAGTTAGATCAGGTGGTTTGCCTATTTCAAAGATATAAAAGGAGACAAGTGAAGACCTCATCAGGTGGTTCTGATGAACATTTAAGGGGAGCATCAGTTTCTTTGGGTGGAAAGCGAATAAATACTAGTCATTTGCAGTCAAATTCTGTGCATTTTAACCACATAAAAGGTGATAGGAGAGAGTAATAAACTGGATAGTGGCATTACTTTGTACCCCTCTTCCCCCCCCTTGATGAAATAACTGTTTATTGTCACTAGGAATAAAATGAACTTGTTTATGCATTGTGTTTATCAGTTTAGACATATTGCTGTGATGAAAGCTAGCTTCTGTGGTTTCGCAAAGTCTGAGATGACCTTGATGACCCCAAGCTCCTTGGCTGTGATTCTGAGCAACTCTATTTTAGGGCTTGTTTAATATGAATTTTTCAAATTTCTCAAAATTTTCTAAAGTAAAACAAGATAAAAAGCAATACTCCACGCTAAAAAGTCTTCGGTGGGTAGTCATTTCAATTTGTATTGTACGAAAGTTTTATTGAAAAATAAATGGATATAGTTGATAAATGTTTGATGTTTTGATAAAAGTACATACGTATAATATTCAACACAGGCAAATCTGTGTATCTACACTGATTGCACCAGAGTTCTCATGACAGATGTTTTCTTCAGTCACATTGTGGATGTTGACCAGTACCTGAAGTTGACTTGTGTGGCGTGTCATCCCACGGAGTACTGTGTAGCTACTGGTGCTAGCAATGGCAAGATATTGCTGTGGTAAGTAGTGTATAGTCAGTGGGACCAGCATTTGAAAAAAGATGCGCTTTATTTTCATAAAAGGCTGTTGCTGTGATGACAGCTAGCTTCTGTGGTTTCGCAAAGTCTGAGATGACCTTGATGACCCCAAGCTCCTTGGCTGTGATTCTGAGCAATTCCTTAAGAATCTTGATAGAAGGCTGAAAAGAAAGCTCCTAGGATTTGACATTTGTGACGAGTTTTAATGTCATATTTGTTATAAGGGAAAAACATGTTTGGTCTCCATAGAAATAACTTGTATTATCAATAGTTCTTATTTTCCTATATTTCTTTCATATATGATCATTTACTTCACTTGTTAACATGTTTGCTTCAGGTGGAACTTTCTGAGCAGTTCCAACGTGGTGAAAACAGTCAATCACTGGCACTCATTACCTGTGGGAGGACTCTGCTTCACTGCAGAAGGTCTGTTTATATAACACTCCCTTTGACTATTCAAGTTGCACACAGAAAAATGTTACTTTTTTGTAATATTTTCATCTTCTGTAAATTTGGTTTTGTAAAGTAACGTGTCATATTATGTGATTTATATCTGCTGCCAAACTTGGGTAAATTTCATTTTATGTGCAACTGGCACTTAAAAAATCCTAATGTCATGCTTTTTTGCTCTGTTGATTTCAAAGGACAAAATTTGTGCTTGAATTCATCTGATCTGCATTTCGAATAAAGGTTTATGATAACCATATTTCTCTCCAGGTTCCTACTTCCTGAGTGGCGGCCATGAGTGCGTCCTGGTCAAGTGGCAGTATAACTCCCATCACAAGGATTTTAGACCAAGGCTTGGGGCGCCCATTGATCATGTGATCTGTTCCCATGACAACACACTCTACGCTACTTGCCATTCAGATAATGGTAGATGTTGCTGAATTATATTTGACTGTATTTTAGATAAGCCTTTGGAATCTTGGTGAAAATATAGACTCAAAATATGTAGTGTACTATTTTGCGGAGAAAGGAGAAATTAAAAGATACAAAAGCATGATAAATGCCACGATACATGACAAGTTTTTTTTTTAAATTAAGTGTACTATTCTCTAATTTAAAGGAAGTTTTACTGAGAAATAAAAATGATAGCACGTGCTCCCTTCAGTTACAGATATCTCATTGACCCGTATTGAAACTTATATTTTTTTTTTTATGTTGAGATGTTGTAAACATTCTGACAAGATTATTTCTAATTTCCAGTGATCCAGCTGATCAACCCTGGTTTCAAGGTGGTGCAGTTATACCAGGGTCTGACCCAGGCCCACCTTCCACACCACAAACATCAGCCAGCCCCTGTGGGACTACTTGTGGACCCCAGAACCAAGGCCCTGGTGACCAATGGGAAGCCAGGACATCTGCAGTTTTATTCACTTCACAGTGATAGGCATTTATACAATGTAGGTGATGGTGTGGAAGGAGTTAATGTTATGTTGTCCAAATAATGGAAAATATCTGATTTAGTTTCGGTATAAAGGTGGAAACTTGCAGTAGCAAGTTTGGGGCCAGTGAAGGTAGATATGCAGTGTAAAATAGTGATTTTACTGTAACATTAGCAATCTCTTTTTGAGTACAAAAACAAGCACAATTTTTCACCTACAATAAGTGGATGACCACCAGTTTAACTGGAGTTAAAATAGACTATAAAATTTTGGTGTTAAAGTTAAGACCAAGTTAAGGTCTTGCCCCTGGTATCTTTACCTCTTGGAGCTGCACAAAATTACAGCCCAGTCTGCTCATATGGTGCATGCTGGGTGTCGGATTTGTGCCACAGAAATCAGTGGAGGGTTCGCTAACACCAGCATCTTCTCTCTGCTGGCGTTTGGTAGTAGACCTCTGCACAAGAAAACTGTTTCCCACTGGAGAAATTTCCATCTTGCCAATAGTAGTGATTTTTTGCCCAGTGGCCATTTTTTCAAAGAAAAAATAAAAACATCTTTAGTCAGCTTTGAGATTAAAATCAGACCTGACGAAAATTTATGTAACTAAGGCTACCACCTTTCTTTTATATAACTATTTGATCTATATCCTAATAAACAATTAGTAAAATATTTTTATCAGTATTTGACATTAAATTAATTCTTCAGCTTGTCTGGCCAGTGTATGTATAAAAAGTCCATTGGTTTGTTTACTTTTTTTCCTTTCTCTAATTTGTTTTTTGCTTAAAAACTGAGCTTTGTACTTTGATATTAGGTTCTCTGTATCAAGGATGCTGATCACAATTCTGTCTATTTATTTCCAGCTCGACATTGTCCAGCAGAATTACGTCTCTCCAGACAATCTGCAGCGCCCCCTGGTGCACACAGAGCTGGAGAAAGCTGCATTTGACGATGGGGGGGACTGGCTGGCCACGGTCCAGAGGAGAGAAGACGGAGAGACGGCTGAGGAGATCGTTTTGAAGTTTTGGCAGTTTATGAAGGAGTCCCAGATGTGAGTTTGATTTTTTCATCTCACCTTTGCGCTGATATTCAACTTAAAGGGTTACCCAGCTGAGCAGCTGGTTGTGGTAAAACTTGGCCAAGCCTTGACTGCTTTGGTGGATAGCTTAAATTCTATAAAATTTTATGGCTCTGTACAGAAGTTATCATAATCTATCTATCTCAGCTGAGATTTTCGCTGAGGCACAGTCAGTGTAATCTGCACCCGTTGCAGAGCAACATGAAAAACATCATGGACCACAAAATTTTCCCAACTTTACTCAAGTACTTGAAGTTATTAGGGGGTGTGCCAGACAATTAAGCTGATTACATTGACTGCTCCATAACAAGAATCCCTGCTGAGATAGATCAATCCTGCTTATACAATAATTTCCATTCTGAACACAGCCTATCACATGTCAGGGTTATTTTGATGCTGTGGATTTCTCTGATATGACCTTGATGACCCCAGGAACCAGGCTGTGTCTCCTGACCTTTGTTTCCACAATAATGATGCATCATCATTTAATTCGTTATAGATGATGCCAATGTCTGCACTTTTCAAAATTTTTTAAGTAACAGATGTTTCAAAGTCATTAAACTAAATATTAAAAAGGGAATTCTCTTAAACGTTCTGTAATTATCTTCAGGTTTGTTCTCAACACCACAGTTGATCTTCCTCACTCAGACGTCATCCATACTCTTAAGTTCCGTTCCCATGGCAACGGGTCTAGGACACCTCTGTGTCTTACCACTAGCAGGGATGGGAAGTTTAAGATATGGACTTTGGTGGAAGACAGTGATATTTACAGTGAGTAAACCTTTCTATGTAAACTAACAGTGGTTAGAAAATGTGAGTCTGTGTTCAGTAACATTTAAGTTATTATTGTATATCATTCTGTGTTTCTTTGTCAAAGTGTGTGGAATATTGAAATATAAGTTTAAATGTGGAAATTTCATTTTTTTATCCTTTTTACTCACAGAGTGAAAATCTTACTATTTTATTTTGAAATTATATAAGAAAAAATTAGATATTGCAAAGAATATTGTTCATTCAAAATATGGTGAAGATAATCTGTAATCTATATCTCAGAGACAAGCAGTTGCTGGAATTGTGAGTCAGTGGGTTACTACAAGGAGCAGGCTGCCTGTGCTGCTGACTTCTCTGAGGACGGTTCTCTCCTTGGAGTGGGATTTGGTCACACACTGACCCTGTGGGACCCTGACACAAACGCCCTCAAGACCACACTCAGTTGTGGCGATGAGGGGGATGAGATAAAGTTAGTATCTGTAGAATATGGTTGATGAAAATGGTCTTGGGATAACCAATTCCAGAAGAAGAGCCGAAGACATATAGATTGTTTACAGTATGTTGCTGTGATGAAAGCTAGCTTCTGTGGTTTCGCAAAGTCTGAGATGACCTTGATGACCCCAAGCTCCTTGGCTGTGATTCTGAGCAACTCCTTTTTGTTTCTAAATCTTATTTTCATTTTCTCATTCTGTGTAAAATGAAAATTGCTTAGAACAGATAAAGTTGGGTTGACATCAACTAAAAGTGAAATCCACCAGCTACAGAAAACAATACATCAACTGTAAAATTATGGTTTTCAAAAGATATTGAACTACGCCATTCCTTCTTTTTTATTTGCAGACACATTGCCTTTGGCAGGCAACTTTGCTGCCATCTATTGGTTTGTACAACAAACAACAAGCTGTTAGTTTGGAACCTGTTGAGTTGCTCACTGTTGTGGAGCGTGGGGTTGAAGGCCGAGGTGCTGGTGGCGGATCCGTTGACGGAGCACATGGCTGTGGTCAGTGATGGTCAGGACAGCAGTGCAGGCTGGGACTGTGAGTATTTACTGGTCAACTCAAGGATCTTTAAGTCTGCAATGAGTATTTTTATAGGCCTTTGAAAGCTTTTGAAATCAAATTTTCTTTTTATATTATTTATCAATTTATGTATAAACTTTGACCAGCAGTGGAATGCATGGTAATGAAAATCGACATCGGCTTTGGAAGTCCGACATTTATGGGCTATTGTTTCTTCATGTTGGTTTTTCTTTTGTATTTCAGTATACATCTTCAAGCCATCAGATGCCCAACCATTATATCACCATGGCAACTTGTCCTCCTCTGCTGTGATTGGTGCAATTTTCATACCAAATGATCATAAAAAAGATCAAAGAAACCTTGAATTAAACAAAGAACTGTCTTGGCAGAAAGAGTCAAAGTTGTATATTTTCAATAGAAAACAAGAACTATTATCTATAGAAACTGAGAGAGATGAAAAAGCTGACATAACAAAGGAACAATCACAAGTACATCAAAGTGTACCACAAACTCCATTCAGTCTTCTTTTGAGTAGAAACCGTAAGAGGGCAGCACTGTCTAGCACAGCTCTTCCACTGGAAGCCAGGAGGAGCCAGGGTGGAGCTGAGGGTTTACAGGAGGTACATTACCCAAATAGTTTGTAATGAAAGCAATGGGAGAGCGAGTTTGTTAGTCTGTTAAGTTACAGCAGGTTTCTGAATATTACACCAAGTTGAAATCTATTTCCTGCTGGTGATGTCATTGCTTATGTACTTGTGTAAGTGACCCATCAGTGATGTGCTAGTCCTCCTGACATGGATGTTGTCTCCATACTAACAGTTAAAATTGGTCCGGTTAGTGCTAATTATTCAAAACTGAAGTATTTATACTGGCCTTTGCCAAAGTGAAACTAAGAAACACTTTTATAATCTAAAAATATGATTATGTAAATACAGAAAATTTCTGTGACTCTGTCCCATGTAGCCATAATGATAATATATTTCTGTTGTATGTGTTCAGCTGCTGAGGACACCAGCACATGTGCTGCCCCCTGTGAACTCTCTGTGTGGTACATTCATCAAGACATTACTGCTGGGGAAGGGAAAGAAAACCAGGTGAGATGCGGCCGTTGTTACTGGGAACGAAGATGAAGCTGTCATTTTTTTTTTTTTTCAATCAATAGCTTGTATTTGCTTTCTTTGTTGTTTACCACTAACATATTAATGTCCATACAGAGCATCTTCACTATCTCTTGTTTAAATACAGATTTAAATCATTATTAAAGAGGCTAAAACGGTGTTTAATTTACCTGTGAGGCATGGTGTTAAGAATCTTTACCATAGTGGCTTCTTCACATAACTGACTATTGGAATTAAAGTTTTTCCTATAGTCTTTGTGTTTAAACTGGATGAGCTGTCACAGCCAAGTTGGTATGCAGATATATAGCTGCAAGATACAAGTTTTGATTTTGCTGCTATACAGCCCACGATAAGTGTTAATGTTAACCTCCAAAGAGGAGTGTTGTGGTATCTGCGCAAGATAATCCTAATAACACTGTTTTGACAAGTGATTTTATATCAAGTATGTTGGTAAATGCATTTAGAGAAGATGTACTTTAGAGTGCGTGCACACAGGGATACATTTCTACATTGCGTTTGTAGGATAAAGAATCTGTTTTAAAGCTTTTTATTACTTCTTTCACATTTTCAGAGTACAAGAGGAGGATGACAGTGATTCTGATGACCAGTCAGGTGACATTTCAGACCAATCAGAATCTGACTCTGAAAGTGCCATGGATGTGTCAGAACAAACCAATGAAATGTGTGTACACAAAACACGATCTCAGGACAAAATGGAAAGTGCAGACTCAGAAAAAATATGGAGGACTGAAGAAGTCATTGATGAAAACATATTGGAGAAATTGTCTGGAGAAAAGGTTCATTGGGTTTCTAATTTATTTAACAAATAAATTATTCTGAAAACGAAGAAATGAAGGCTCTCGATTTCCTTTAGAATTATTTAAAATAAAGACGACAAAGAAAGCTTCAAGATCATTTGATAGACAGTGTAGATGCTGGATGACTGCACCTTTTTTATCTGAATTTCAAAATATAATTTTGTCGAAAAACATGAAGAATAAAAATTATAAGACGGGTTTTTTTCTGTTTCAGTGGTTGTATTTTGCTTTCTGAAATGTAACTGAGCTGCTATTTGATTCAAGTAAGCCATGTTGAGATCTGTTTTTAGTGTTTTTGAAAGTTTTACAAACATCACGGGAATATTGTATTTTCTTGTGAGGACATGTAAGTTGATATTTATCAAGAGACAAGCTTGCAGTTGGGGACTGGCGAAGTGGTTCCTAAAAGCTTTCTTTTCTTTTATATTCTGACCATGGCTGCAACCTTGATCTTTTTTAAGAAACAAGTCTTTTTTTTTAGTACAATATACTTTATTATTGCAACTTTTATTAATAAGCAGTGTAACAAATTTTACTGAAAAGCAAGGAACACTTGGAAGTTGCCCAAGGCGAGAGAATGTTAGAGAAGAAATTGTGATATGCCAAGTTAATCTAATGGACAGAATTTACATCACAATTATGATTTAACATCTTCCTGACATTGAATACAAGATTATCCATGTTCGCAAGGGAGTAGAGTTCAATATTTGAAAGCACACTACACTGTCTAAGAAAATTTAGCTTTTGGTTGAATAATCAAGATCTAATCGGTGTCGAAGTTGGGTAAAATAACTTCCATTTTCCTCCCTCCAGTTGCAGAAATGGAATAATCTTGGTAATAACACAACACTATGAAATTAGAAAAATATGAGAAGATAGCATGTTCCCTCTTTATCACAATGATCATTTGACATACCATGACTTGATTACAATATTTACTTATCACGATGATCTGAGACTTTCTCTCAACATGCAATCTAAACCACTATCATTAAAACATTGTAAAACAAATGGCTCTAAATTACAAAGAGAGCCGTTAAAACTTAACGATAAAAACTCATTTTCTCAATTCCATGCAAGTAACAAGTCAGATTCCGGTCTTCTATACGGTACAAGGTCCTATCTACTGTCCACAATTGAAAATCACTGCACAAACTCGATCAAACTATTGCTCTACTGTCTCCTGTCTCAGTCAGGGCCTTTGGTTAAACTGTTCATTCCAAAAATACTATGGGAACTAAAATTCCATCATCACATTCTTAACACATAAAGAATGTTCTGTATAAATACATAACAATACTAATACTAGGCAAATGGCTAAAACTATAGTTAATACAGGGGATTTCTTTGGGGGAAAAAGCAAAATTATAGTGTAGTCCACACCTGGGTGTCTGTTATTGTCAGCTGGTAAAGCCATTTCGCAATTAAGAAATTGATGCATTGGAAAAGTGCGCTGTCATATGTTTCATTTCTTACCTTCACCAAAAATGTAAAGTATTTATCCACAATAAAATGGCCAAAATAAATCAATTATTTAATAATCAATTGTGCCTTTAAAACCTTGTCAAAGATATTGATAATGATAATAATGATATTGGGCCAGCTGAGAGAAGCCAGCTGCTTTAACTTTTTTCCTTTTTTGTAAAACAGATATGACTGTTGTCATGGCAGTGTTCAATAGGTGTCACTCTCTGGCAAGAAAAGCCTCAAATAGGATGCACTTACCCCTAACCTTTGCCTTATTTTAATTCACAATACAACAAATGAAAAACTGACAATACAATATTTTTTTCTCGGATAAAACAGAATTAAAAATGCAGTACAACACCAAGCCTATATATCTTTTAATAAGTGTCCAAGTAAATGCAGTTTGTTGTTAATATCTAAAATGTTACACTGCATTTTTGCAACACGAAGTGGTCACAACTCTATGAAGAGAAGTAAATGGCAGCCAGAAGCATATTTCTCATTTGAATCTTGTTGCTGTGTGCCTGGCAACTATTAAAATACCAATGGACAGTTCCATATCAACCTTTTTTTCGGGTTCTATCTCCAAATGTTAAACATAGCCATGACTCGTAACATCATGTCACTACAGTACTTGTGCTAGCATTTGGCGTTTCTGCTGTGATGACCGCCAAACTCGTGTGATCCTTCTTCGGCGTCCGAGGACCCGCCCTGCAACACACGCACTTTTCAAAATGGAATAAATGACCGCGAATTTTTCTCGAGTACAAGGCATAAAACACTCCTCCGCAGCAAACAAAGCTAAAGGACAAAATAATCAAGATGGCAAAAGTATCTGGGCGAGGAGCGACAATCACCAGTAAAAATTTGACCATGTCCAGTAACATGTTTAGTGAGCTCTGGACACCGTTGACTACTCCGCGCTCCTGTTCCGCGACGTTCTCTTGGATCAGCTGTGTCACGGACAGGTCTGCCATCCAGAGGCCTGGAGAGAAACAAGTTGTGTTGGTGAAAAATTTCAGAAAACAATCGTCCACAAGGCAACTGCAAATTTAAGCTGCAGTAGAACTTAGTCTTACTAAGAATTTTAATGCATTTCACTCAGAATATTTCTGTTTCTTTTTAAGCAACATGAAATAACCTACTGGTCAAAACATTTACTAAATGTGACACTATACATCTCCTTAAGAAATGTTTCTGTATGGGGTTCTGTAGCAGCAAAGATTCTTTCTCAATCCACGTGTTTACTCACCAAACCTGCCAGTGATGATCCCAGCTATGAAGAGAGACACAGATATCAGAGAACCTTTGACTTCAGTCTTACAAGTGTGGGTGGCATTATCAAAAGTTCCTGCCTCGTTGCTGGCATTTGAAAAGTTATAAGAGGCATCAAAAGGAAGAGCCAGCACGGAGGGTGGCGAGTCATCCACGGACCCCTCAGGGGTTGTAGCTAGAGATACATTATTAGCTTGTCTTTTTACAATAACATGACTGTTTCCATGGACACTAACTTCTCGGTTGTCATGAAAACTGATTATATTCTCCATTCTGATTGGCTGGAGCATCCCACCTTCAGAAAAGTCATCATTTATAAAGTATGAGTATTGATGTTGGGAATCAAATGGAATCGACCTGCGTCGTCGTCGGCGTCCAAAATCTGTATTGTTTTCTGGTGAAGTTGGTAATACTGGAACAATGCCACTCACAACAATAGGGGGCAGCACTGTGGCATTACCCTGAGGTGGCTTCAGCTCGCACGTTGTTACTGTATACTTTTGGGATGTGTCGTGATAGCCAATAAAAGGACTGCCAGGGGTCCAAATGGAGACTACGCACAGCGTCAGGCAAGAGATTTCCAGGCTGAACCCAAACAGGCCCGTGCGCTCAACTCCAATACGTTTACGAAGGAAGGTAAATCCAACAGTTCCCAGGATTCCCATCAAGGAGCCAATCGCCATGCAGATTCCCAGAATGGACTCAGTGTAACCTTGTGAGAAGGCATAACCTGGAATACAGGGAAAATTACTGAGACAGCATAAAAAATTCCACACAGAAAGGTGCTTATCATAGTCAATATTATTAAAAGCTTTGATTTTGATAGTGCCATTCATAAAATATTGAAAAATTTTTAAAACTTGTTTAAGGTATCATTCCTTGCAAATTGTGGTAAAATTTCAATTAATGAATGACACTGAAAAAAAAAGTTAGCAGATACTGCTAATAAATTTAAAATGTGAAAAGAGTGACAGAATTGGTCCAAAAATGGCAATATTGTCCCAATGAAGACCTTGTCACTTACAAGTGAAATTAACACACCCTTCCCCCAAAATAAGTCAAACCCTAGCAGTCGTGTGACAGTCATGTGACACATACCCACGGTAACGTTATCAAAGCCCAGGACAGTCATGTAGAGAAATGCCAACCCGAGTCCTGCCAACATCACAGATTGTCTCATGTAGACGCCCCAGCCTGTGAATAGAACGATGAACTTGGAGAACATCAACTGGAAACAACTCTTGTCCAGTTCCTCGTCTGCAGCTGTGGTGGCTGAGTACGGGGACTTGTACTCCTCCTGGAATTATAATTATTATACTGATGATTTCATTATGGTAGTAATACATTTTAATGGTGAGTTGAATTATACAATTATTTACGTACGCATCAGGTTAGAGGTTGGGATTTTACCAGAATTGTAGCAAGCATATTTCTTGTTTGCTTTTTTTTCTGTTCTCAGAAGGGAGACTGGCAAATTTCACATTTAACAATAAAAGTTAAAAATGGTAAATAAGAAAATCAGTTATTTAATTTCCCTATGTTTGCTTATACCTTAGTGAGGAAGGAAGAAAATGTTGAAATTTTCTACCAAACAATTTTTTTGCTACATGCTGCAATTTTTCTCTTTGGTTTTGGACTTTGATGATAAATTGTTCAGCTTTCGAGAAAAGTATTTTTTCTTTTATCATGATTTTTCTTGCCTTGTAAAGGTCTTTTGCTTCTTATACCCCTACAAACAGTGTCAGAATGGCGTTTTAATGTCAACCCACCTCATCAGCCATCTCCACCTTCTCCTGGTCTTCACTCTTCTCCACTTTAGGCAGCATTTTCTCCTCTGTGGCCTCCTCCTCTGACTTATTCAGCTCATTATCTGTCTCTAACTCCCCAGCAAGGTCTGGCTCCATCTCTGTGGGCTTTTCTGGTGCTGAAATTAGGAATGTTTTAAATTCCACATTAAAGAAAACACATTTTAAAGATGAACAGCATAAGCAGAGCTCAATCAATGGTGAGCAGTAGCCAATTGATTTGATTGCCAAGGACCTGATCCTGATGAAAATTTCATAAAATATGTTCTCTTTCAAGAGCATATTTTCTTATAACTTCTATGGCAATAAAATATCTGTCATGAATTATTATTCAAATTATTTACAAGTTTTCCTCCAGTAATAAGTCCTAGCAATTTTACTCTCTCCACAACTTACATCTTCAGTCCCAGTAAAATCTTAACAACTATTCAAATTGAAGTTAAATATCTATCTAGAACTACATTTGCATCACATCAGTGACAAATGGAAGAAAAATGTTAAATAGGGAGAATTGAAATTGAGGGGAGAATTGAAAAAAAAAGAGAGGAATGTGGAAAGAAAGAAAGAAAGAAAGAAAGAAAGAAAGAAAGAAAGAAAGAAAGAAAGCATGAGTGGCAGCAGATAAAACATTCTCCTACTGGTGAGTTTGTTCTCCACAGCCTCTGGTTCTCCTTTCACTCTCTTCACGGCCAGCTCTGGTACCTTTCTGTACACACTGTACAGCAGCCCGTACTCCAGGAACATGGACACCACGTTCCAACATGCGATAAAAATAGCGCCAACGACGTGTGCAGGCAGCGTGCCAGTCTCGGAGTATGTCATTATCTGACCCACCGCTGCTGGAGCCAAGATGGCGGTCGTTAGGTCGATTCTTCTCACTGTGGCATTGAGACCTGAAGTAGTAAAGATGGGATACGTCAGGTGAAATATTCATTTCATTCACAGTAGGTGTTGTTCTTTTTAAACAGCAACTTGTTAGGGGCATATCCCTTACGAAAATTTCCTATAGGATCCTATAGGAATTCCTATAATTATCAGAACTAATAAATAGACTTACTTGCCAGCTTGCCCTTGTTACCCTGACACATAACAACTACCCAGTCTCTCTCTACACAGATCTAATTATCAGAACTAATTAATAGACTTACTTGCCAGCTTGCCCTTGTTACCCTGACACATGACAACTACCCAGTCTCTCTCCACACAGATCTTGGTGGCTACGCTGGCCAGCGCTGCAATGTCCGCTATGACGATGACCAGAATGGCAAACAGAGTGAACAGTCCGCCCTCCCATGTCTTCATGATGTGAGACCTGGTAGAAATAACAAGGCAGGAAAGCTGTCAAATGTACAGAAAAATAGCAGAAAATAATGATGCACAAAATAGGCTACTGTCGATTCTGATGCAGAAATAAAATAAAATCTCTGTAAATTAAGACAAGCTGGAAACTGCTGATTGAAAATAATAATTGATAAAATAAAATATTACTGGACCTTGGTAAAATAAATCATTTCTAAAGTGATTTAATGTGATGATTTTGTCTTTCAAATGAAAGGTGTATAAAGTTCATGCACTGTAGCTAAAAATGGGTGCAAGTCTTAAGGAATAAAATGCCCTTTTTACCATCTTTACACAAAAGATAATGAGAAACCTAATGAAAAATAAGATTAATAAATTAAGGGGTACATAAAGCAAAATTGATATCTGTACAAAACAATGTTTCATTCACCTGCTGTCAATAAAATCATAGTCAATGAAGTCTAGAAGGTTGCAGTTTCTTAAAGTTTGCCATTTCCAGACAAATGTATGATATCACACAGTTACTCACAAAATTTGAAAGTTATAACAAAATTACACATATTTGTGTATTTCACAGGGATAATTTTTAAATAGATGTTGCTGAGGTTAGTGTTTACGTGCTATATTCAGTTTCTATAATCTCCAGTATGCCAGAGGCCCTGTCCATGCTAAACAATGTCATTTCTGCCCTGGAGATTTCTTTTTTATTCAAATCAAGAAATCCCATCACATGATTTAAGATTATAACTAAAGGTATATGTTGTAAAACTGAAATTTTGGTTTTATGCATAAATCAATGAACTAGTTAGAATCCTTTTACTTGGCATTCGTAGTTACCCACTATCAAAACAATGCAAAATGTACGCTGTTCAAAATTATGTGCAGAGTGCATAAACTCTGATTTTCCTTATTGAAGGTCTGCAATATCAATCATAGCAATGGATTGTTGTATTGTCACTTCTTAAGTCTTTTATAAGATCAGTTTTTCTTCAAATGTGCTTTGACACTACTGAATGCGAAGTTTCACTCCTGCCTGTTTAAAATTCTTTATGTAAACGTATAATCTTCACTGGAAGCCCCTTAAACACCAGTTTTTCTACAAATGCTCATGGCAGATAAAATACTTACTCTAATGTGAACATGATACATAGTAAGATGGCAGATAAAATAACGGCAGTGTTTTGGATGAAGAGGGAGATGCGCACAGCTGAAACATAAAACAGAGCTAATGTTCACAATGGGAAGAAATAAAGAAAGTTGAAATAAATAATAAACAACTTTGCAAACTATAAATAAATGGTGTTTAATACCCTGAATAAAAAAAAAAATTCTATAAAGACAGAGAGTGATATCACATCATAATATGAAATTATAAAATAAAAAGCCAACTAACTCAAACTGAAAATTGTTTATGCAAAGTTGCCAGACAAGCAAACAAGGGGCACAAAAGTAAGGGGTTTTGTCGGTCTACAAATCTCTTCATCAAGGGCCTGGTTACAAAGAAAAAACTTCATCCCGAAAACTGATCTTAACTTTAAGACCAAAAATTGAAGTCTACCCCAATCAAAAATTGCTCCTGTTTACAAAAAACATTCAATTTGGTAATGTTTTAGGACAATTCTCCAAATTTCCAGTCAACCTCAATACAGGATACAGGGTTGGATCCAGGACAATTGGTATGGGGGGGGGGGGGGGGGTCTGCAGATGCGAAGACAACCTTGGTAATTAAGTTCTTAGCCAGAAAACCTGACTTTAGTTTTGTAAACCAGGGCTATGTGTTAACCTCTGAGCCTCATATTCCTGTCTATCCAGTCTCCAATAACAGCTCCAAACAGAAGAATAGATCCTCCTCGTGTAAATCCATACACTGCCACCAGGCGGAGATCTTCTGAAAGCTGGACCAAGAAAAGACCAACTGCAAAACTCCACATGCGATCTCCCTGAAGATGAAAGAGATGAGGTCTTTTATACAATGCATGCACTGAGCAGAATGATTTTATGGATTAAATTATTCTTATAAAAAATTCTACCATCAAATACAATTTGCCTGTCATATATAGTTTACTGTATAGGATTTATTCAAGAAAATTCAAGAAATGGAGGAGAAAAAACTTGGAGCAGAAAATTGTTACATTTATGTTAACTTTCATGATTATCACATTTCATTTTTTAAAACTTCAAAGTTAATATAGTGACTGACTAGATGAAATCACCCTTACTAAATTTAATTAGGAGTCTTGGGCCAATGTTTGGCTTGAGTTAACACGAGATTTCAAATGATTGTTCATGTCATTACTATGATAATCATAAAAGATTATAACAGTGCTAGGGAAAACTGCTACTAGACAGCATACATCTGCAAGAGACTTAGAGTCAAATTAAATTTACAAAGTAAGTTTTTCTTGTGAATCAAATACAATACTGTTTCATCAGACAGCAGAAATAGGATCTTACCCACGCTGACAGTGTGTGACTAAAGTATACCATGAAAGCTGGACTCTTCAGCCATTCCTTGAAACGACCTGCAAGACACCAAGGGTAAAGTTTACAATGATGATAATGGTAAAGATAATGAAATATACAATGGGACACTGTACGTTGCAATACCACTTGTAGAGTGCTGTAGAATGACAAAATATTTAATATTAGCTAAAGCTACTGAAAATGTGATACTACATAAGGAATAAAACTAAAGAAAAATTTTCTATTCTTGAGTTTTGACACAATATTTGAAGATATTATTTTATGCAAAAACAACTAAAAGTTTAGTAAATAACTCTTGTTAAAAGAAGGTATGTTCCAAAACTCCCATGAAATGAACTGTGAATTTTCAATTTTAGGAAAAGAAAGTTAAATGTCAAAATCATGTTCATCAATAGACTTGTGAAGATTCTTTTGATTGATGGTAAGATGACACATATAAGTAGCTATAGACAAAATAATCTTCACAAGTCTATTACAATAACATAGCTAATGAAACTGTTCAACACTATGTTCATCAAGATATTCCCTTTATGCATACTAATGAGTATTGTAACACATGGGCTGCTAAACAACAACTGCACACCAACTGTTTGGTGCACTGAACCAACTGTATATACATCACGCAAACCTATTTTATCTGACACAATCTGAAAATAATCAATGAAATATTGTTGTCCCTGACCAGGGAGGGATATTCTTGCTTAGTACTTACTGCATCTGCTTTGACCGTCGCCTGCCATTGTCTGTGATCAAAACAAGCCGACTGTCGCTTTTTCGAACCCTGGATTTTTTCTTCCTTTAACTTGATGGTGTCGTTTTTCGATCTTGCAACAATTGGTGTTTATCTTACGTCACTTCCACCACGAGACACAGACAGCATTATTCTCAATACAACTGTTCTAGGAAACAAAATACAGGCTGTTACATCAAGTGAACGTTCTAAGATAAATTAAACGAAGCGCTGACATGGAAGCTCTCAGTTTCCTTTTCCAAACAACCCCCGTCTATGACATCGGCTGTTTATTATCAAATTATCTCAATTCACACTGCACCTATCGGTAGATATCCAAGATGAAATACAGCTACCGCATGTTTGCATGCAGTCCGACCTCTACCTTAGAGCCAGCAAGATAAGAAGCTCCAATCTTTTGATTAATATTCCGTGGGCGGCAAACGTAAATCTTCTCGTGACCTTCACCCGTCAATCGTTTCTGTACTCCAAAGCTAAAGAGCATCCAGGTAAATGTTTTCAAAATGGTAATGTTTTTATTGGATTGTTCAAATAATTTTGTTTTACATCCAAAGTATTTGCTTCTGAATATTCTACATTGTCTGACAGTTTTATATCAATTCCAACTAAAAACAGTGTAGTGATTCTCCTGCCCTCTATCGAATATATGCCTCTGAGTCACGACGCCATCTTACTTCCTGAAAGTCCACCCATTTCTTGAATTTTGATTGGGGTCTTAATACGTCTACCAGAAGGATGATTTTACTTGAGATCAATAATAGGGTAGTGGAAGAAACGTTGACACTCAAATTCAAGAATGCACTAAGCGGGTATGTTTTTGTAAAAATATTTTTAAAAGTTGCCGGTTCCCTGTCCAGATTTAGTGACCGCCGGCCGATTGAGTCGATGCAGACAGCTCAGTTTAGGTGTAATTCATTGTCGAGTTTTTTTAGTTCTTAGTTTTGTGACATATACCTGCTCTTGAATACAAATATGTTATTCTCATGCAGTCGTTTCATATTGATTAAATAGTCAGTCATAACTTCCTGATTAGTCTATCCAGTTCAACAGGCGGTACGTTACTGGCGTGCGATATGACGGGCATTTAACACGAAATACATGCGTCAGCACTCCTTTTGACGATTTTGCTATGTACACTGTGTCAAGGCATTGTTAGCAAAGGCCTCAAAAGTATAAAACCAAAACCAGTTTTTGAATGCACCATGGTGAGGAGCTCACTAATTCTTATCTTGCCTCTCATCTCCATGCTCAGCTGTCACTTTGATCATTTGTTGAATTTAAAAACCACCTAGTCCACCAAATGCAATAAAAAGATCAAAATCAGTTGTATCTCTTGAATATTTATTATAGACAGCTTCTAAAACAAAAGTAACCGCCATAGCCTTAGAAGTTCAAAAGAAAATAAAGGCAAAAGTTGCACTCAAACTTATTCCACTAAATGCCATAGGTTACATCTTCTGTAAATCCCATTTGTTCGCAAATAATCAATAGGAGTACTCATGCTTGAATTTGGTGATAGCAAGCACTCAGTGATTCACTTTCAGAACATAGCTGTGTTTCACAAGAGCTCATAATTATGAATAACCTATGCAAAGACTGCTGAGGATCTTTGCCCACTGAGGATGGTTTTACAAAGACATAAAAATTCTGCTCTTTTTTTTTTTATTCTGAAATGAATTCTGAGTTTCCAGCCCAAATTGCATAGTTGACTTTACAAAGTTAGCTACTCAAGTTTAGCAGTCTAAGCTTAGTCCAGAAACTTGAATTCCCTTGCCAAACAAACCTATTTCATATACTTCATGTCAATATTTGACCAGATTTTCTGCTATATAAAGGGATAATAACTGTTCATATGAGATTCATATTTCATAATACACATATTGTAAACAACTTAACTTGCTTGTCATTATCACACTGGAGATTATGGAACGTTATTTATCCAAGGAAAATGTGTTTCTTGGTCATAGGAACAGTTGTTTTCCCTTTATTATACGGCAGCTAATTGTTAACTTTTCGATAATAAGGTTTTAGAAAAATTGCCATTGATGGTTACTTTAACAATGGCATTGACTCTTTCACTTTCTGTACTCTGAAATGATGCATCCTTTAACAGTTTGAAAGTATATAGTGAACTTAGTGTCTTACACCCCATTCTCATAGATTAGATCGACCTACATTGGATCGACCTAACTCCCTGGGGGTTCACGCTAAATAGCTGTCAGCCGGGCGGACACGAAAGTTAATTACCCCTTAAAGCTTTAGTAGGCGGGGACGGACACTTAAGGGGGATTATCTGACAGTAATCTAGTGAGACTCCCCGCGGTGATAGATCGATCTAAAAGTTGTGAGAACAGAGCCTTACTGAACCTAGAGGTTTGGTGAAATAAAGCTTGCTTCAGATTTTTGTTTGTGCCTTAAATGCTTAAGATGTTTTGAAATTCATCTTTCTTCTTCTCTGATAAAAAATGAATAGTCGAACTGTACTGATCTTTTTCCACAGGAACCCACAGCATGTAAAGGGTATTTGAGATCATTTCTTGAACCCAGATTTATATAATGTCAATATTTGAAGCAAGCTACATTTATATTCTTCTGAAAAATATATATTTTACTTTTACTCTCTCAATATTTTAGTTCATCATTCTATCAGTATTTATACAAGTGCATAGTTTTAAAGCATAACCAGAGGGGTAAAAACATCTTTAGTATTGTTCTATTATTGTTGCAGTCTCTACTCCCAAAACAGTACAAATGATAAGAAAAGGTATTTATGTGTTGTAGTGTGTTGATGTGATGCCATTTTGTGATTGCTGGGGTTTTTAGTGCACTTCTACCATCACCATCACCCTGAGTGTCATTGTTTGCTTTTTTTTTTTTTTTTTTTT